CTTCCTTGTAATCTCATCTAACAACCGAGGCTTATTTAATAGTACATACAATTTAAATGTCGGAATGTGTGAATTTTTCTCGTCCTTTAAAAATTTTGTGTGTGAGTAAGTCATCATATTTCAGGTTTTAGTGGTCAACGGACAATGAAATGCGTATATCATGTGGGATCCCTTTGGTTAGGTCACTGTGTCTGATATGGCCACTCGGTTCGTCAGAGCCGGCCTTCCGCCCTACACATCCGTCGCTGATAAATACATTCGCGATTTAAATGACTGACCGTTCAGACAAATGATACATTTATTTATTGTAGAAATCCATGCAAATTACTGTGATTTTTTATTTACGTGTGATTGAGGTAGCTTGAGAAGTAGTATTTATTATATGTATTATTTAAAAATAGAAAATAATAAATGAAGATTGAAGCGTAGAGTCGCAATTCATAGGAGTAATGATGCCTGTAAGCACGTGTAGGTAGGCTGCTATGGGTTGCCATACAAAACAATAGGGTTCAGAGAAGGGGCCCTCAAATTGTTTAGTGAACTGAACACAGAAAAAATTGTAAACGCATGAATTGGTTTTAACAATTTCAATGAAATGAAATGAAGTGATTTAAAATGGTTTGACCTACTTTAGGGTTAAAGAATTATCTATTAGGTATTAAACTATTACCTAGTTGAAGTAATCACTTCATTGTATTACAATACTTTAAATAAAATGAGATTTTATAATACGATCAAAGTGGCTCATAAACATTAAAGAGCCGAAACCGCAAAGATAAAAACCCCAATAAAATTTTAAAAGAGAACACGTTTTTAAATCTTCTATCTCTTTCTTTAGTAAAGTTTTAATACTTAGTTGGTGGGACCTAGTCAGAATGTTCAATGTTATTAACATAATTTACACCTACTAAAGTGCAATTATCAACATCTCAGCAAGATTTCTTCACCCAAAATAGGTACCTACATTTTTGCAGTTACTTGGTAATGATTCTGCCCACAGTCCATATTTTGCCAAGAAAAAAAGTGCTGAAGTAGGTAGAATTCGGCCTGGTAGTGATCTATTTTGTTAGAAAAAGTTAATGTTATTCTGACATTCAAGTAGAATATTGGGTAGAAGGCAGGGGTGTAAATGTCAAACCTTAGTATTTATGAGGGTGGTCCCAATTTGTTACGATTCCGTTTTTATAGATGCTTAGAATATCATTGTTAAGCGGGTTATCAGTTCTCACGGATATTTTAAAAAGCAAATTGTTTGCTACTGCTGAACGGAACCTGTTTTGTTTTTTATCCTGCAATGATATTGTCTAATGTCTTTTGTTAGGTACTATTTGATTGTTGCCTTTCTCAAAGATTTAGGTAAAGTTTCAATGATAAACTATTTTTAATTAGGATACATAAAATGACGTCATTGCCGGGTAAGTTAGATTTAACAAGCAGTGGCCTCTTAACTATTCAGATAACTCGTTACAATTTCAACAGTTTCAACGATAACCCCTTATCAGTGCCAAGACTAGAAACGTTTTGTCCAATCACAAAAATGTGACCATTGACCAAATGTCTATTCAGTGTAATATCATGGTCATTTCATAGATATTTTGTTCAATGAAACTACACAAGTAACATGTTCATTACACATTACATTACATTACTTACTAATGAAAGGAGCCCATCTCTACAAAGGATATACATATTTCTTGTAATATATCTAGACAAAAGTAGAGGAGCGACTTTTATTTATTAATTTCGTGGCAGTTTAGCTATACCTAATAACCTCAATTACAATAATGAATTTCAAGTAGAAGGCGGCAATAGAACTTAGGGTGAAACAAGCTTCGGATCCAACGTGATAAGCTAAATAATAAGACATGCTATAAAAATTAACGAATTAAATAAATATAGCCATATCTACGAACAAATTATTAGGCACTGCAGTGATAACCGTACAAAGAACTCAAGAACAAAAATAAGCTTCATATTGGGGCTAGTACAAATTTAAACAAAACGAATAATAAATAAGAATTCGGTTAAGAATCTTGAAAAGATGACAGCGAGCGCTGTGAATGAACGCTTTCCCGCCGATAAGGGTTCATTCTCAAAAGGCGGTTATGATGTCAAAGTTCATGAGAGATAAACACTTGGCTACTGATCCGATCTATTATCTCACTGTAGGCGTTCATAGATGGACATATTTAGCGTTTTATTACGTTTTTATTTTATAATATCATTATTAGAAATAGGTCTCAAATTAATGTTGCGTTGAAAAATTTTCTTGGCTCTTGATTTAAATCATGCTAAGGCGCGATTTCGTATCGGTGAGATATGTAACGGATAGAAAGCTATTGGGAAACTGATTGCAATTTTTTTACTAGAAAGTTGGGAATGTTTACTTTTAGCCTAGTTTTTCACTGATAAAGTCTGCTGGCAGGTAGCTACGCCTGGAAATACCATTCCTACATAATTTAAAATACCAGTCATTGTTTGAAAGTGTAGTAATAAAAACTATATTATATTTAGGACTTGATTTGAGCGTATTTTTCTAAAACAAATAGCGATAATATCCGAATATAAACAGGATAGTGGATCCAAAATTATCCACAACTTTATGGTGCTGCTAGGAAGGGAATAATCATAAAATATGTCGTATGACGTATTACCTCACTGCGTACGTCGTTGACCGAAGCCAAAGAAAGGGCTCTATGCATGACGGTGGTGTCGCATTCCACTGGCGTACAAGAATACTTTCATTACATATCTATTATTACATACAAGGACTTTATCAACAACGTTTAGAATATTTGTAGATAATGTCAATCATTATGTAATTAACTAATTAATGTGCAGCATACCTACACCTTACTACGATGATAAATCTTTAGTTTTGGTAAGAACTTTCAATTAGAACGGCAAATTGTTATACAATAAAGCTAGGTGTAAGATAGTATGGTCAATGTAGTAAAAAGTCCACTGAGAACACCGTAAAGTCCTGAGAATAAGAAAAAGAATTTAATTATTTTTGCGACAATGTCCTAACTCGTGGGAATTTTAAAAATAGTCAAGGTGTTGTTTTTTTTGACATGATCTCGCAATGAAACCAATAAAACATTAACGGCATTATAAAAATGTTATGGAGTAAACAAAAAGTATATTAGTAACTATTTCTAGAGGGTATTTGTAGCTTGTTGATTATGTTACCTACAGCGTAGTCTACGTAGTCTTCCGCAGGTATGATATTCACAGTAAATATGGCCTTTTCACAAATCATTTAGGTAGGTAACTTTAAACAAATACAAATATCGGACCATATCATATACGTATCTAGTTCTAGATTCTATACATATATCGTATATGTCAAAACTTTCACAGCAACGCACATATGGAATTGGTAAACCTTTTAACGAGGAATTGAAGACAAACAATGGAATAAATGTTATGCATGGACAACCAAATGAAACTATTGTCCATTTTTTTAAAACGTTTCGAAGAATGTCAACTTTTTTTTTAACAGGGTCTTGTATTTAGACGAACTTCAATATATTAAACATTAAACAAAGAAGATACTTTTGTATATAGATAATAAAGCAACGTTATTTTTGTAGGCAATTAAATCGTAGCCTATCTTTGTACTAAGCATGTCGCCTAATTTTGTAACAACAGCGATGTTGGTGTCAGGACAGTGACCCCGCGTTATCGAAACAACTTTACATCCTCGGTAGCTAATCTGAGCTTACAGTATCACTGAAACTAAAATCTGCTGTTTGTGTAGTTTTATTACGACACGCATCCCACACCCACATTCATACATACATGCATACGCATGCCCTTAAATTTAATTACAGCAGTGCATTTTAATACTGAATTGTTGCAGTTTACCTAGTTAAAATCTATGTCCACTTAGGTTTACTTATATCATCATATTTACAACAATTATTATATTGGAAACCTTAAAATACAATTCTAATAATTAGAATTTACTTTATGCAGTACGTTCATATAGGATATTCATGATTACGGGTATTCTCAATATTATAAAAGTATGTACACATAATGTAAGTACTTATGCTTTGACACCCAGTCAGATAGTAAGGATAATATTACATTAGGTTCTAAACAAATGAATGACGAAACAATAATATCTTATTGTGAAATTAAGGGAATTCCAGCATAATTTGTATAATAATGTTGCTAAGTTAAAAATACGATAACTAAAGAACGAACCTAGCCATTTCAAGTAGCTATACAGAGACGGTCTTTAAGTAATACTTATTGAGGTCAGCGTAAATACTACAAATGCCATAATAAAATCTAAAGTCCGCAAAGAAAATATTACCAAATGTATAATAAACACAGACATAAAATAAAAGAGCAGGACATACGGGGAAGTATGCGGTCTACTATACTCGGTCAAAATAGCTAGCACATCTGTCGTCCACATGTTTACGGCGAAACAAATCTTCGGGATCAACCATTGCTTGCTTTTATCTATAACAATTACCTAAGCGTGTCCTTTAGCGTTGTTGTTCTGTATTTGTGTTTTTATTACTTAGACAAGTAAAATATAATTCAGAACTATTTTATAGTATTTGAGATCTATTAATTTATAATACGTAGATTCTTCTTAAAAATTAAATCCAAGAACAATAGTACATATATACATACATACCTACATATTATTTATGTATAGTGCCAAAACTGTCACTAGTGTACACTGCAGGCATTATTTTATCAATTGTTTTGAACGAGAGACTTGATCTAGGAACTGTATGATGCAATAAGGTGCAACCGTACATGTCGTGGGAATCTCAACACCATTGGAAAGTGGTATACATTGGTTTGACAATCAAACGTTTAAAGCTTCAACTCGCATCTGGATCTACCAAAATTTAGACCACAAACGCTATTTTTATAAATAATATACGTATCAATTTTTTCTAGCCAGTTTTATGAGACCAAAATTGACCCTCAGTGTACGTAGCAAACGTAGGGGTGTTACAGATACAAACCTCCGTTGTGCATGATGTGTGGCACGTAGTAGCGCCCGCGCAGCCCTGAGCCGCGCCTCCCATGTGCTGCATGCGTCGGATCCGCTCGCACCGCCCGATAGGGAAGACACCACCCATTGTTGTTCTTCAATCTATATCAAATTGTTTTTTTGTTAAAACATTTAATTGCCGAAGGTTAATGAATGTTACACATAATCTTTGTAACATCCACTTTAAACCGATTATGTCAAGTCCGATTTAATAGGGAGTGAGCCTATCGTCATAACTGTATTGTAAGCTTTTGGAAAATTGATAAATCCTAATAATACTTTGTTTGACCTGCGGATCGAAGCCGATAGAGCCCACTTTCTCAGCTGTCGCGCTTGAAACCGACTCAATGGGAGTAATGTTTCTATTCTAGTAGTAAAAGAAATGTAAATAACAATAAGAATTCACAAGCCATGAGATACTGAAAGATATTAATCAAGCAAGAGTAACCTTGGGAACAAAATGTTTAACCCACACAGCACAGAAGTGCGGTTTCAAGGAATTCTGTTAGCACGAGACAAAAATTGCCTGTGTATGAAAGAGACCGCATAGTAAGACCACAACACTGCGGACTGTAGACCCATTGTTTCAAAAGGAAACGAAATTCATTCATTTTTTATTGTGGTACATATTCCCAATGTGCAAAGTTAACTTAAGTCAAGATTTAATGTATTTGCTATAAAAATATTTCTTATATAGCAAATAGTTGTATATAAAGATATTATAGTAGTAATTTTTAATAAGAATGGCACGAGGTTCAACGTTGATTAAAAATTAGCTAAGTAATATTACCAATTATTAATATTATTATTTCCATATATTTATTTAAAATTTCTCTAAAATTACATTTTTAAATACTACAGTATAAAAAATAATATTTAAAAATATAAAAATAGGAGCCGACCAGTAGTGGAAGCATGGTCCAAGCTACCGGTGGTTAGGGCTCCAGAGACAGAAACCTCCTCACAATGCGCGCCGTTTCAAGGAGAACTGCCTTCTGTATCAGGCCCTTGACCCAACTGCCTAACGCTAGCCTCCTAAGGTGGTTGTCGAGGCTATTAGGGATTAACCCACTGGCCGACACGACTATCGGCACAATGATAGCCGAATCTACATTCCACATGTCGACAACCTCGTGAACCAAATCAAGATATTTGATTTGTTTATCTTTTTCAGCTTTCACGAGGTTCTCATCATGAGGAATAGTATTATTATTATTAATACCAATTTTCCAGTACATATGTACTTAAGAGCACGGAGCTTAATCTCACCTTACTAAGTATTTCCTTAAAGTCTTTCACTATAGGCGTGGGACGCTTCGCCTTATCATTGTAGTATGTGATGTTGAAACGTGCGCCGGCGAACCAAATCTCAAGCTCATTTAGAGCATTCCTGATTGCAGACTCACTTGATGCAGCACTGCAGATTTTCTACAAAATAATAATTCTTAACTTTTGAACAGTTAAAAAGTTGTACCTAGGAAATTACATAGGAAGACGTGCTTTTTTGAGGGGGGGGGGGGGAATCATCCAATGACTTTTCCCCTCAGGCGAGGCGAGAGGGAGTATCAGTCTGACTAAAAACCACCCTGTTCCTACTCCTGCCCCTCGAGCAAATCGGCAATCCGTAAAATTCAAATCAACAAGTAGTAACTTGTATCTTTCATACCTCTATGATTTTGTCTTATTATTCTAGTTAAGTGCAATAACCAACACAATGATTAGAATACATAATTTTAAATAATCAACTGACTTCATGTCTAACCACATATTGAAAACATGTGTAAAAACTTTGAAAACACAAAGTTTTGTGTTTGTCTACAATAAAATGAAGCTCAAATTGTGAGTAAAAAATAATAAAACAACATTGAGTGACTAATTCCTATAATAAGTTATCAGGGCAAAAAATATTCTAAGTAATCCAGGTCACGATGTCTCCATATTTCATAAAAGAGTTACAAAGACACTTATTCATCATATTCATGTAAATTATATCATAATTTTAGTTAGTCCGGTGAACTTTCAACAGCCCCAGAATCAGGAAATATTGTGTCATGTTCATAATGACACAATGAATTTGAAAAATATCTAGATATTTATATTTACACTACAACTGCCTAATATAATTTTACCATTTCAGACGTATGGAGAACGTATGGGAATTCTAATTTGGCATTGTAAAGTTATAAATAAATAGCGAAAGTTACTAGCTAACATTAAACCTTTGTTCTAACGTCAGTTGGTGTGCTATTATGTCTATGAGCTGTAAGCGACAAATGTCAAAGTAGGAAGTATGATTTCCATTAGGATTAGCTCTGCTAAAAGTATTTAGTACTAGCTCCCGCCAGCGGATTCGCGCGCGTTCCAGTGACATATAAAATATTCAAGATCATTATCTACCCCTGTTCCAAATATCTTGATCCCTTCAGCTGTTTTGACGTCGAATAGTAACAAACACACACATATATAAATTCCTGCTACGTCGCAATTATAATATTAGCCGGAATTTATCCTTACCTGTATGTATTTGATATGTTTCTTAATATTCATGGCGGCTCCCAGGAGATCCCTGACTTGCAACGCGTCCGGTTTCTTATACTCCATCTCAAGTAGACTGTACACTTCATGCCAATGGCGTTCCGTGAAATCTGTGCCGCGTAGATATTTTAGTAGAGGAGCCAAATCCTTTTTGGACAAAAAAAAATATTATCTTCCAGTTACATCTGTTCTACAAAACTTGCGACAGTAAAAGATAAGTTTCTTCGAAAAGTTCATTGTTTGAAAGAAGCCCACTATGTATATTCACCTACTGCATCTTCTGTTTGTTAGGATGACCAAAAACAAATACCGAAATAGTGAATTTATGCCGATGCATCCTAAGATTCCCATAGACATACAACTATTTTGTATGACTTAAAGATAGTATTCAGAATATAGTTATAAGAAGTACGACAAAACTATTTTTTGTTATTTAACAAAATTAGCATCTATAGAAGAGAACCAATATGCCACGAAAAGCTCAAAAAATTATTACGTACAAAATAAAATTCACACGATTCGACTGAAAGAATCATGATATCATTGAAGACATGTTCAGTAGAAACATATGCTATGATGTCATTGCACTAGTACACATTGTTAGTTCATAGCTGCAATACGCGTAGGTGATATAAATAGGTAGGCACTCAATAGAGGGACACTAGGGAGTCACGCTAGTAATACTCGCTGAAACGGACAGGTTTCAGACGTAAATAAAATGGCCTCAATACGGCCACTGAGTACGCCAAATCTGATGGAGAATAATATTTGTATTATATTATGTTTATTGTGCCACGACAATGGTTTATATTGGTTTCATAAGCCAATATTTACAGTCGTGGCACTCGTGGCTCGGTTATGGTTGTTTTTTTTAATATTATAAATATTACTAATGTTAGTTCTTAGTTTCTTGTTCGTATCAGAAGACGCCGCAAGCACAAGCATGTGTTTAAACATTGTATACTTTATTTTTATTACTTTTAAACTTATTAATTCTATAGGAATAATAAGTTCAAATACAACGCGAATATCAACGCGCAAATGTAGTTTAAGAAAAACAGAGTTCTATTAGGGTTTTCCTGTGCACACATACACGTACATAATGATGTAGAAACAGCTTTAACCGTTTTTATTGCATTTAAAGTTTACACCAGTTTTAACGAACTTACCGAGTACTTCTCTAATTCCTGTTGTATGTACAAAGTTACTATAGTGAACGGTTCCAAACGACTTTTCCATTTTACTGAAAATTCTTCTATCAAATGGATCTTTTTCTGAAAGACAATCCATTCTTGATCTGCCATCGATTCAAATTCTAAAATATACAAGGCATACAATACATTACACATGTGAAAATTAATTTCATCTTTAATACTATGATTTTAAAGTCACATATTGCTATTACCTTCATTGTACTCTTTTAGAGGAGTCCATAATGTAACGTATTCAGCCATAAGCTTCTCAGCTTGATCCCAAGTGTCATTGAGCTCGACTTTCATTTGGAACTTGTCACACTCTTTTCTGTGAATAATTAATATTAAATACCGCAAATTCATTATTCTATCATGTAATCTACAGCGTTTGTTGCAATTCAGGACACTGATTTCTCTTTGTGTATTGTGTTTAGACGCGAGCCCGCTAAGATCGTATCACAAATACCTACTTTTAAAAAACGAATCCTATCAATAACACAGACATGTAGTTTGTAGATCACCCAAAGGAAATTCGCCTGTGAATCGAACTTACATCGATTCCCAAGCGAACTTCCTTCGAGTGAATCGATAAGCTGACTTGCAAGCCAAATATAAGTAAGATCATATTAATCAATCATAAAGTTAAGTTTTCTTTTATTAATTTTCTGCGAATTTAAGTTGTAAATAGTTTCTTATTAATGTTAATTAAGTTTCTTATGAACGTAAATAAATAAATTTAATCATAAATAAAAAAACTCACATCAATTCATCTCTGTCTGTGACAAACTTATTCAAGCTCGCGTGCGCTTCGAACACAGAGCGACATCTATCGAGCATCTCTGCATAGTCCACGCCATGCGTATCATCCAGACGTGGTTTAGCCTGACTCCACCGCGATGTCCAAGCTTCTACACTTGAATTTAAATTATCCCAATCACCGCTCAAACTTGACTTTACTATCTCAGCCTGTAGAATAATAGTAAGCATACAAAATTATAAGCTTATTTAATGAGTCCTGATAAACTTTACATAGCAATGAGTTGAGGAATAAAATTTTTTCTAACATTTTAATCAGGCAAACTCAACAGACTCAAAAATAAATTAAACATTTCAATGGCCTAGCTAGATAATTTAAAAACGTGTCTATCCTATATAAAAGATTAAATATACTTCTTGTTTGTTTCAAAGTGCAGATTTCAAACAAGAACAAACTAAGACATTTGGAATGAGCAATAATCATACATTAACTAGCCCCTTATACATTTTACAAAGCAATGACACGAGAGATTGTATATTTGTAGTATTTTTGTAACAAATTGTTTTGTACCTGATGTTCAAACATCTTCTGTTGGCTGAGCATAAGTTCATGTATCTTCCGCCATTCCTTCATGGTCCCATCCACTGATGTATCTCCTCCCCAAGTGCGTAGCATATGACTTTTACGTTTCAGTGCTTCCACTGTGCTCTCCATCTACGAAATTGCATACCACATCATTTTCATACCACACATTCTCAGTAAAAGCAAGGACTTGTGCGCGGTGCCAGTGTATGGTGACAGGTTTGTCACACGTTACATAGAATTCATAATATACCGTCTTTTCTTCTCAGAAGTAAAAGATAGAGATGTGTCTATAGAAATTATTATATCCATAGGTGTAATAATTAAACATTAGACTTTTAATCATTCGGAGTGCATAATAGGGGTCCACTCGTTTCGGTGACAAAACATGATGTTAAGTTGCAATAAAAATTGTTTGGGGTACCTCTGGCATTTGTTGTTGCAATGCTTGTTGGGTGGCGCTCATTTCAGCAAGTTCTTTGGCATTCTTAGGCAATGCTTGGTTTTCCAACATAACTGCGGCTGAAGCCACGAAGGCGTCCACTCTAGCCGCGTCTGACCTACAACTAGCAACTAGGGATGACATCAGACAAGCCCAGAGACTTCGTGCTTGAGCCTCGAACTCACGTCGAAGAGTTGTTGTGCCGACTGTTATCCACTCTATCTTTTCGTCTTCACTGCAATTGCAATAAAACGTGTCAATATAATTGAGTGTTCAATTCAGTGTCAGTTTAATATAGGAAATTTATTAAGAATAGTCACGAGAAAAACTAAACTGCCGCGTTTGAGGCGGGCAAAAACGTTACCGACAATTTACAACTTAATTGTAAACTTACAAAGTCATCTTAGCGACAGCCTGGCCGTAAGCCTTGCAGGCTTTGAAGTTGTTCTCCCAGTGTTGTGGCTCGGTGAGATGTAGTTGGCACAGCGCGTCCAAGTCCGGCACACACGCGAGGGCCGCTCGACGGGTCCACGAAGCACAAGTCGCCTCTAGAGAGGACAATGCTGACTCGAGCTGTCTTACTGCTTTATTACCTAGCCAGCTGTGCCTGAAAGTAAAAGTTAAATATTTAGTCTTACCAAATAAAGTTACAAAGGATTTTATTTTCAGTTTTAAGTATCATGTCTTGTGCGTTTTTTATTTTGATAAGTTACTATTACCTTACTGGTAATAATTATACATCACCTCTAAGTTGGCTGCCGGCTTTTCTGAGGAGCGAGAGGGGTTTCACGTTGGTTTTCTGTGAGGTCGTGGTTACGCCCTGACAGAAAACCAACTAACGCCCATTCTTCACGAAACATAGTTACTCGACGTGGACAATTAAATACTAACTTTTCCACAATAGCAGCGAAGATGGTCTGTTTATCAGTGATGTTGGTCTGTACCCCCACGAAGTGCGTCGGCATAGCCACCAGGCGGCGCAACTGGTGGTAGTGTTGTACGCGTAACTCCTCCATTGAAGGTTGCACGCGCACTGCGTATCCACTGCAAGGGTGGAATATAATATTTATTGCAATTTCAACTTTAAAATAAAACCCTAAGATATATTTTTAATCAATTCGAATGGATAGTTATTTAATAATCTGAAATCTAATATGGTCGTCATAAACGAGCAAAATATAATCTTAAGACAAATCGAAAATCAAAAATTGAATGGATTGTTATTCTACTTGAAAATCCCTGAGACATTTAGGTATTGATAATGTAAGTTTTAAAGTTTTAAATTACCAAATGGATCAAACAATAACTCTACAAGACAAGATCTATTGTAGTACTAAAATATAGTATTTATATGACACAGCAAAATGATAAGATAGGTCGAATGTGAGACTAATAGATGCATGTTATGAAAATTTATATCGATATTGCATTTGGCATTAGACCTTACACCAGTTATAACCGGTCAGCAACGGATGAAATAAATTCGTATTTAAATAGAATACATGACATAAATATAGACAGGATTATGAGAAATTGTATGTCAGTTTTTTCTGATATACCTACATATAATATTAATAAAAAAAATTGAAAAAGAATAAAATAAGAAGAATCAATACATAGTAAAGTTTTCCTCATTATAAACGTGTTTTGTAACCCCATGAGTCAGATACGTGTTGTTTACCACGCGCTGATAAAAAAGGTCAACATAGCTCTCTCATGTAGAATATTATTAACTGAATATTATTAGTCTAAAATAGGTCTAACATCGTTATTTGAGACTAATTAAACGGTTATTGAGATGATAAAATTATTACCTAAATATAATTTTTGGGGCAGAACTTAACTTCCTTATTTATTACGCAGCAAACTTTATTTTCGTGACAGATATCTCTGAGATACAAGTAAGTACAAATGAACTGTATTTTGCCGTTGTAAATTGCTTAATGAAAATAGTCTGTATTATCAAATTGTTTTATATGAGTAAAAGTGGTGTTTACTCTTTGATTTTCAAGTTACTTGTTAAAGTTCAAACATAAAAACGAATAACAGCCTATAAAGCTCCAAGAATAGAATTCAACTTCCTGTACCTAATTCAATCTCGAAAACTAAGAATGATAATGACGAATATTATGAACGTTATGGTAGCTAAAGAAGGTAGAAATCATGGTAATTCATTCTGTAGTTAAACTTATTCCCATGGAACAAAGGTGGGTTTGGTTTTTTTTTCTGTAGGATATACTTATAAAAATAATTTAACATTACCTACTAGTTACTTACCGCAAAACCAAGTCAACTTTGACATGTGGAAAATGCTTATGTAAAGAAAGCAATGTTTTTATATACTGATATTCAAGAGCCTTATAAAGCTGCCAGTCCCAATGAGATCTCCACAGTTCTGTGTTCTTGTAACCATTTGATTCCACCTGTGAACAAAATTTTATATTTTGTGATACAATTTTGAACCATCTATGTAGGTACATACCTAAGGTTGTATTTTTTATCAGACATCAAATGCATTTTTGGGTTTTTTCGTCAAACTTTGAATTTTTTGTTTGTGGATCTATTAAATACTGGTGATCAAACATTTGTGTTAATATCTGATAATTGTTCCACTTACCGTATCTATAATATCTCTCATCTCCTTAACACCTTTCTTCCATTCAGCTTGCTTGGCTAACAGTTCTGTCTCAATAAGTTTCTGCACGATATTCCTGATCGCTACATGTTGACCTGTCAGATAAGTATTCTGAAAAAAAAAAAACAATTAAATACCCAGAACTAATAAACGACAAGGAAATATCCACTTGTGTTAATGACTTAAGATTCTTTATTCATTGACAAGCATTAGCTTGTAGCATTAGGTATATTAATTAATACCTAACTACCTGTATTCTTATTCAGTCTTTTTTACCTGTGTCTCTAACTTTAAAACAATTTTCTTGAGTTTGTCCGTATAGTTAGATAGTTGTTCGATATCATCCCAGTATACCGCTTTCTGGTCTTGTACTAAATTAGACAAGTCTAATGCGGCTTGCAACATCATAGGTCTAGTGGACGGGATCATTCGTTCACCTAACGTATTGTGAAATGACGCAACCTGGAAATAAGGTGCAATTTTGTACAATCGCAGGATACAGTAAAGGTAGTAAGATGTTTCATCAGTTACTTACGTGAGTTTTATCGTTGCTATTTTAAAATTGACCTCTAGTCTAAAAAGCTGCTCCAGCGCAGAAGATTATTTTAATAGAATTTGTTTTTGTAAATACAGGCACGTTTTATCATCATATTTTTTTAGTAATTCAAATGAATTAGGAAACCTTTACACTTTTATGTTATTGCATTTCATGGCATGCTTTAATAAGATGGACTAATCTTCAGTTACCTACTACACTCTACAAAATTTTCGTTTCTTGTTGCCGACACACTTAACACCCACCCAGGTGACTTAAAACCGATTATTATAATATAATTATTATAAGTCACATTTAAATATACCTGTTGTAACGGCCGTGCATGCGCCAGCGCAGTGCTGAGTGAGTCGAGTGCTGCCGCGGCGGGCGGTGGCGGCAGTCGCATGGCAGCTAAAGCTCGTGCCTCTAACTCCATACGAACTAACCCAGGGTTGAAGTTCACAACCATCAACTTACTACTGCCACTGAATTCCACTACCGGCTTATCCGTAGATATTTGCAGAGAACCGTTCTTTGCTTGAGCCTGTGGCGTAAAATAAAAGGGATTTGTGAACAATTTTATACGTAGTGTTTTTGTTCTAACAACCACAATTAGGGCTATCGTTTTTGTGCTCAGCAGATTCACAACGCTAGGTTCTATTTGTATCTATATATAATCACTGTAGCTATCAAAAAAAATCTGTACATTTGCAATGATTTGATAACAGAATCTACATTATACTTACGCTACATGAACGCTATTTGACAGCAGAAAATCGTTAGTCCTTACTAGTGCGAATGTCAAACGAGTCGGAGAAAGCATGGTTTTTATAATCAAAATGACGTTAATTTGATTTAACATACTGACCTGGAGATCGCGACACCAATCTTCGTGAAGCTGTGTGTACATATTTTTCAGATCTTTCAACACCTTCGTAGCGAGATTGTGCAACTCAGAACTGCCTTCGAATTCTTTTAAATATTTCTCAGCGCACGTTTGAATTTCTTTCACCTGAAATGGAGTTGATCTTAAGTTACAAACGACAGCATAATTTTGTACATTACAAACTGAAATACCAATTAGATGATGGCTAACGAATTACCTCAAGGTATGTAATTGCAGATGAGTGGAAAGGTACATTAGCTTATTACACTGTTTAGGCCAATAAATTTACAATAAAGGCCTAATGTTATTTAAAATTTAGGATACCTACCTTAGCTTCAGTCAACTTCGCCCACTGTATTTGCAGTACGACAGTGGACATTTCCGGCGGCTGGTACATTTTAACATCGAGCTCCTCAGCATCTAATTGTGTTTGTATACTCTTTAACATTGAGATGAGTGAAGACACGAATATTTCCAGTTCGTTGTTGAGTGCGTGCTTCACCAGAGGACGTTCTATAAGTGCACTGTATCTCATGAATTCATATAGCATCTGTAAAAAATGTTGTTACATAAATGCACCAGTTCAATAAAGTCGGAATAACAGGATATCTAACTAAAATATTTAATATTATAAATTTAATACAGGAACGAAATTAACAAATGTTGGAAAGCTTTTGTAGGGTGATGTAATTTACCGACCTGTTTAGTAGACATATTGTGTAATCTAGGTTTTAATTTCTCAGCGACTTTAGTTTCAGCAGGACGTAAGCTGGTTGAAAACTTAGAAACTGCTGTCTCCCATCCTGGGTTTGGACCATTACACAACCAAATGTTTACAGCTGTAAAAGTAATGGGTTTTTGCTTAAATACAATAATTAAAACAATGGGGTCTTAAAAGCGTAGCGTCCTTTATTATTCATCTAAGTTTCTCAATAGTAAGTGTTTAGAAAACTACATTCTTACTTTCAAATGGTGTAAACAGTTGATGAGTCTGCAATTCCGATCGTTCACTGTTGGTCAGCAATTTATTTAGTTGACTATGTGTGGACCTGATATCATGAATCTGCAATAAAAAAGTTTGAACCAAAAAGAATTAGGTAGGTACTTACTTAAAAACATTCATTCAGTTTCATTTAAAAATTAACAAAAAAAATTAAAATTAGGTGTTAGAATGGCAATCTCTTGATATCAACTGACCCGGTCGGAAAATAAAACACGTTATTTTACGTATTCTTAAAAAGTATACTAACCTCTTTTAACCTAGTTTGAAAATTCAAACAGAAAGGCGGGACGTAAGGTTTTCCGATCCACGTATGTAGTGCGTAGTTAGGCCAGTACGTCTCAGTCAATGACTCGCAAGCGCTGTTCCAAGTTTGAACCACTTTAAAACTGTCTGACAAAAGGTTCAATATCTCGCTATCCTTGCCGCTATTGTGTACTTTCCAAAGCTCATTGATACATACGGACTTTTGTACTATTGAACACAATTCGTGCCCTAAAACCATGAATAAAATATTTCGTTAAATAACTGTGATTTTCGTGTCGATAGATATGATTATCTAACTTCTTTAATAATTATATAACATAACATAACATCACGCCTAAAAAGGCATTTAATGCCACTGTACAATGTAACACCCACTTTCCACTATATATGTTATGAGTCCCATGTAATAGGGGGTGAGCCTATTGCCATATACCGGGCACAATTCCAGACTCCGTGCTAATACTGAGATTTTAAAAAACCCAGTAATACTTTGCCCGACCCGGGAATCGAACCCGAGACCTCTTGCCCGGCAGTCGCACTTGCGACCACTCGGCCAACGAGGCAGTCATGTAAGGTTGTGATGAAACCATATAGGTATGAGGTTTCTGTTGTAATGTAAGTAAAGCAGAACTGTAAGGTGTACTTAAGATTCTTCCCTCCACTCCATCTTCTACTGTGCTGACGAAATATACTTATTTTATACTTACTCACACTTGAATTGACCATTAATATACTATCTACATCTACTTGTCTCTCTTTTGTACCTACATATAATAAAGTTCTAAACATACCAATAACATCAAAGATGTGTACCATCCTATCTTGGGAGTATGGAGAGGTTGTGATCCGCCATATGTCATCCAGGATTCCACCTATATTTTCTGCTGATTCCCTAATCTCTTCCATGGGACTTGAATTAATTGTGCTGTAAAATATTAAGAGTAGTATTAATTTTGAAATATGAGATTTTGTTGCAAATAGGTAGTTATTTATTTTATCAAATTGCCTAGTTACCGTATTTCTTCAACAATATCTTCAAACAGTTCACAAAAATTGGATGCAGCATCTTTTTCTTTTTTACTGGCATCCCTCTTCTGTGCAACAGTTTTCCAATATTCCAATTCATCTTGGATTGATAGCACAACTGCAATAGTTAAAAACTGCAATAGTTACAATTAATAGACAAAGTAGGTAATGTATTTTTAATTCTCAGTCAAGGTCAACTTACCATTTATGTTAGTATTTCCTTTTCCATGGGCTAAAATCCTCAAATTAGACTCTAGGTCTGACAGATTCTTTTGTATTTTATTGGAATACAAGTCATTTTCCTGAAGAGAAAAATTATTGACTATATAAAAAAGGGTTTAATATAAACAGAAAGATTTTAAATGCTGTTCGTGTGTAATCATTACTTTAATAATTTTACACTTATTATAACAAATATTAATGTTTGTTAACATATAGCCATATTTTCAGGGCATACCACCCATGTTTCGTTTCTTTTATCCTATGAGCCTAAGGATGAAAACAAGTATAAATAGGTACTTTATTATTTTATTTATTTTGTTTATTTATTATTCATTTGTTTTTTTATATTTAATTGTTTATTCTATGTAAGCTAGTATACTCACTGCAGCTAACAGAGGCGTGTAGACCTGTCTCCAAATCTGGTAGAGTGTCTCTGCTGTGTTACTAGACAGGGTCAGTATATTGATGTTTTGCAGAGCATCATCATTCAGTAGCTCTTGTGCAGATGTTTTATAAAATACTATGGATTTGTTCTTATCATCCTTTATCTAAAATTTGATTATACTTTTTTTAATGAAATATCATAATGTTATTACTTATTTTATTGATCTTATTGGAAGATCAAACAATGGAAAAATACAGCCTTAAATCAGTTGGAATAAGGGAAAACTGGAAAAGAAATTGTTATGTAAATACTCACTCTGGTTTGAAGAAAAATATTATCTTGTTTTATATAACCTTGAATTATGAATATTTGAGGAGTGTTGATGAAATCAGATAATGCATCTTCTGAATTCTCATTCAATTTTAAATCTGTTTTGTTGAAAAAGTGTTCTAGAAAAAAAATCAAATTAACCCTTGTACAAAATATCCAAATTTTCATTTTAAGCTTAGTATATTCCTAAAGGCAGGCAGGTATACTTTATTGCACCTTTGCTAATCACCTTCGTTATTCTAGTTAACACCTGTATAGGTAGGTATTTAGAGATACTAAAAATCATTGAAAAAAAACCGTTTATCTACGTTGGTGTGATGTACCCATACATACCTGCATACCTACCTAGTTACTTAGCTACATTATATAACAAAACCAAATATTATGAAATTCACACTCATAACAGTATTATTTTTGCATAAAAGAAGTACGTATGTAGGTAGTACATAAATTCTTACCAAGTATAGTAAATATGAAATCGCGTATAGGTAACATTGTACCAAGATAAATGTTAGTTATAGAAGACACGTTTATACTTATATACCATTATTAAAGGTTTATTACTTTTAATTCGTTATATATAATAAAGTAGTAGTTCAGGGGAGATATTTAAAAATAACAACATCACAACATTGTTGTCATGGCAGCAGATCGACACAAGTTCATTTACGAAGCATGATAAGGCCATTGCCATTTTATTCTTTCAGTTGGAAAATCAAACGTATTATTCATAATTTTATGATAATCAAATAGTACACAACATAAGTAACATTCTTGTAACAATAATTTATAGGATAATATAAATTTAAAGGAGATTGGCAAAAAATTCTATTATTCCATACTTCTTTCAATCCTTGAAAACAATCATGATTTTTATGTCACGATTGTCACTGTCAAATTTAAAACGTAATTTTCAGCTGTCAATGGAAAAATATTGATCTATTTTTGTTTTTTTCGATAACTTTCTATTTTCTTAGGAAGTTATTCATAATAAAAGGTTCTTCTTCTACTTTATTGATCAATAAAGGTATATTTACAATGTTTCGCCCCGTTCGATCGATCGTTTCGGTAAGTAAATATGGAAATAATAACTGTATTGTTTGTTATTTACAAAAGATAACAGATTAATGATAGTTTTATTACGAAACCCTTATTTCTTTGCATATTATTATTTATGTAACATTTAAAAAAACATCAAGTATTTCGAGCTTTTTTTATCTGAACCTATCTCAAGATGCAAATATACGTAGGTACAATAAAATATGCCGAATATTCCACACCATAATATCAAAAGAATTTGACGGTTGCTTCATATTATGCAATATTTTTTTTTTATTAGGTGCAGAATGTATTTTTGTACCCACCCCTGAAAATCATTAGAAAAAGCTAATGGTGTCTTTATAACCTCACCAGTATTGCATTTCTACTTCATGTGAAATGAAATTACTAGTAACTACTGTTTCATTAATCAATTCAATTCATCATTCAATCAGCCTGATTGGGTTATAAGATATTATTAAATTAAATACCTATATACAACTAAAGATTAAAATTAATTATAAGAACAACTATTAATAAAATTAATTATAAGAACAACAACAACAAAAACAACTATTTACATAAAGCGTCGAATAATATTTAGTAATATTTATTTTAGTAATATTTAGTTTTAATTTTTTTTAAGTAATAGTTAGTTTTTAATTTAAGTTTTTTATTTGAATGAATTATCATTAGATATTATTTAATTTGACTGCTAAAAATTCAAATTGATTCTTAGTAGGTAGCTTTAGAAACAAAACATGGTATTGCTAAACTACAACTCATACTAAGGCCTCAGAAGTCATGTTTTTACCTAGAGGTAATGTCAACAACATCATTATATTACATATTATATGACTACCTAAGGATTAGCATTAAAAACTATAATTGCAGTGATTATCTTAAATAATACTTCCTCTGCCTCGTTGGCCGAGTGGTCGCAAGTGCGACTGCCGGGCAAGGGGTCTCGGGTTCGATTCCCGGGTCGGGCAAAGTATTACAGGGTTTTAAAAAAAAATCTCAGTAGTAGCACGGAGTCTGGAATTGTGCCCGGTATATGGCAATAGGCTCACCCCCTATTACATGGGACTCATAACATAAATAGTGAAAAGTGGGTGTTACTTTATACAGTGGTATAAAAATGCACCTCTGCCTACCCCTTCGGGGATAAAAGGCGTGATGTTATGTTATGTTATCTTAATAATATCATTAATAAATTTTTGTTAATTTTGTTTGAAAAAAATAGATAATAATTTTGTCTTGTTTACACAACATAATATGGCAACTATTAACTTATTATTACCACAATGCTGAAGACTATAGTTGAAAAAAAAATATGCAAAAAAAACGATAAATTCAAAACTCTAGTCTTAGTAAGTACCATGTAAAAGCAGCAAATAATTGTTGCAGAAATTAATTATTTTTCTTTTTTTCAGATGCTACGGACTCCTAATGTGATTAATAGGATGCCTAGCGCTGTTTTTATGTGTGACAAGCCTATAGATGTTGACTATTCCTATGTGGAAATACCTCATTATGATGTTGAAAAATCACAATCATTGGAAACACGTAAAGCAAGGTGAGAAAAAACTTCATTATGAGAAAGACAATTTTTTTTTTCTGTACTTCAAATGAAAATGTTGTCCTAATTATTAATCACATCATTAAACATGGTTTATTTACTTTGTATTCCTATTTCTGCTCTCTGTAAGGAGTATTGCCATTGCCACTAACTTTTCGTAATATATAACAAAGTGCCTAATCCTTATCCTTACTTCCTTACTTATATTATAAATCGGAAAGTGAGTTTGTTTGTTTGTTTGTTCCGCCTTCACGCCGTAACTACTAGACCGATTGCTTTGAAATTTTGCAGACGTAAAGTTAGAAGTCTGGATTAAATAATAGGGTACTTACTTTTTTTCCCGGAAAAATGATATTTCCTAGGAAAAACAAAAATATTGGTATAGATGGCGCGGTATGTACTGGTATGGATGGCGTTATATGTCATTTAAAACCAGTCAACGAATTACCAACTTATTGGAAAAATGTAAATAGCGCGATGTAACCGAATTCCACGCGACCGGAAAGCTATTTGTTTGTTTGCCTGTCTTAAACGGCAGAACGGAGGTACTAATTAACGTGATTTTTTAACTGAAGGTAGTTGAACGGATGGATAGTCACATAGGCTACTTTTTATCCTTTTGTGACGCGAGTGAAGCCGCGGGTAAAAGCTAGTTTGTATATATTATTTGAATGTAGTCTGCTAATATTAGGTATCTTGATTTATTAAGACTTGTTTTCTTGATAACTCCAAACAGCCTTAACGGAGCTAGTGATTAATGTTGAGTTCTTGTTATAATATAAATTATTCATGGATTATTTTTATATTTCTAAATTGAGTGCAGTATCTTAGGAGTCCAAATATCAGACAGAATAAAAAACTTCACACTGCGCTCCTAAACTCAAATCGCTGATGTTGGTCAGAAAGCCAAGAGTCTGATGTGGGATTGAGCTAGTCATATCAGCCGCATGCTGGGTGAGCGGTGGGCCAAATTCACTACCGAGTGGAGTCCACTCAACGTCAATAGACGTCGCGACGAAGGAGAAGGCAGGATGATTTTGACAGCTAGCAAAAAGATTGGCCACAGAAAACTACAAGAAAAGTTAAGAAAGATATGAGTGGATAAACATTGTCACAAAATTAATATCTTAAGAACTGGTCCTTACTAAAAATCATGTTTTAATGTAACTCTACAGCCATATTAAATAAAATATATTATAGTTTAAAGTTCTGCATTCATGGGAGCCAAGATGATCTACTGATAACATTAAATTACATATTATTAATTAATTAAATAAATACGTACATTCATCAGCACTCCTGCAATCTTAATGAGAGTAATAAAATTATTAATCATCAAAACATGTTATTGCTTAGAGTAAAACTGGAATAGGAAAGTATACAAGTGGCTGCTGCCTACTATTAACGAGCAATATTTGTATATATACTATGTGGAGTATGTAGGGCAGCAGAATTAAACGAATAGATACCATTCTGATAACTACTGATGGCTTTCTGCGGACTCTTGATTAGCCTTAGCCTTACTCAAGAGTCCGCAGAATAACACCAGAAGCGCAATAAACAAAAAAATCCTTCCTTATTAAATGTAAAACAAACAAAAACATCCTTCCTTATTAATGAGCATTACTTATCTAGATCTTGTGATTAATATTTACTTTTATATGATGCTGATTGCTGTTATATTTTCATAAATTATAAATGATCTAAAGATTCTGGGATGGGGATCAGTGCGACATTATAGGACTTTTGTCATTAGGTATATTAATGTTAGTCTGAAGCTTCATTTAAACTTGTAACATCACGCCAGGTTAGAGTTCTGTTTTTAGGTTTAACTTCAACCTTATTGTTTATCAGATCGAATGCCAAACTTCGTGTTCAACATTCATAGCTGCGACCACGTAATAATAATATTTAATATTAATTGAATGTTTCCAGGCTCATGTACCAGTCCAGGAAAAGAGGAATGTTGGAGAATGACCTCCTTTTGAGCACCTTCGCAAAGAAATACTTACCCTCACTCACTGAGGATCAAACTAAAATGTACGACAGGCTCATCAACACCGTCAGTAACGATTGGGACCTCTTCTACTGGATGGTGGAGAAACAGCCCACGCCCAAGGAATACGACAACGAAATAATGGACATGCTGAAAAAACACGCCAAAAATGAAGATAAAGTATCATTACGTCAACCAAACCTATATTGAAAATAACATGAAAACTAAATTTACATTAGTACTTACATAAAAATAGTGCATTTAATACAGTTACTTAATGCAAACTATATTTGTTAAATGTTATTTATTTGTTGACTTGTAGAATAATAACGATGATCATATGAAACTGGTTTGTTTTGTTTTAGATATATCGTTTGCGTCATTAAGTTCGGTTATTGTATTTTACGTACTTACATATAAATAGTACAAGAAATACGCAGTTTATGACGTAATTCACTTAATAGCGTCACTCTTTTATTACTTTTTTCCTGAGATTTTTTCGTCCTTAATAGGAACTTATTAAATTAAAAGCGTAAAAAATATTTCCGTCTGATGCACTTATTGCACTTAGATTTTTTTCAGAAAAATAAACAATTACCGCATTGTGTTTGTATAAAGGTGTATAGAAATTGGCTCGATTTGTCTTTTGTCATTTGGAGTTTGTATTATTATGTAGAATAATTTGGTATGTAAATAAGTTTCGTGCGTAAATAAGCATTTATTTGCCAGTAGTATTTGCATATTGATTTAAATGTGTATGAACATGGAAGCTCGGCGACCTAATACAGGCATTTCACTCGACCTCACGCTGCCGCCCCAAGGTGCTACGCAGTGGTGCTCTTTAGTTTCGTATGAACCGCCCGCCTGCTCGACAACCGCGCTCGTTATACCAATACCACCAAATAAATAACTCTCAGTGCGTAATCCTTATTTTGATTAAATACTGCGTTATCAAATAATATTTTATAATTTGTGTTGATTATGAATGAGCACGTCACTCGCAGGTCAGCCACAATCTTATCATTTTGCTGTTTAAATGTTTGTGCTTTGATCCAGTGAAGTCAGTTAACTTGAAGCAAGTTGTGAACGTACATTATTTCGAAGAGTGCACATTAATTCGATAAAAATATTTTACAGTACTAATAGTGGTTTGTGATTAATTTATTAGAACAATTATTTGTGTTTAGTGTTTATAATAAGTGATTAAGATGCCTATTCGTCGCAGTCAGGTAAGGATTAGCTCTATTTTATTAATTATTTATTAAAGTGTAGTTTTAAGCAAGAAATAATACTTTCTTATAGATGCAATTTAATAGTTATACAAGGTGTCTAATCGAAACAATCTCAGTATGAGTTATAACAGTTAACTAATGCTTTAGACATTTCCTTTAAGTTTGTATTCGTAATTAAAAAGTTAATAATAAAATTTAACTTCAAATATAGATATTTAAGCTGTGGATAAAAATAATTACCAATTTTTTGTCAAAGTTTAATTTTATTTAAGTAAAAGTAAATTGTGATTTGTGTTTTAAATTCTGCAAAGTTTGTTAGTGGAGTACCTAATGTATCATTTAAAAAGGCCTTTAAGCCATTTATACTCAAGCGCTGAACCAACATAGTAAAGTACAATAGATAACTTAAGTAATTCCTGTTCTAAGTGGGTAGGTATAAAAAGGGGACCGATTGAGGTCGTCACCAATATATTAATAGCATTGTCTATATTCTACATTTACTATTAGAAACACTGAGCTAATATATTCATTGCGGCTATTTTATATGTTTATTTTTTGTAATTTCAAGTCGTTGGTAAAATGGATCTTCGAGAACCAACACAAGTTGCAGATGGTACGGTATTGCAGTTCTTCACTCCGCTACAAAGAATTGGAAGAGAATGCGGCGCAAGCACAGCCCGAACACGTGGCGCCCTCTATGGCCGCGCCCGCTGACAAGCCCCGCCCACAAATTACGCCTGAAATCTCGTTCAAGGTAATTGTGCCGCGATTTGTTGACAATTTTAATGAAATGTCGTTTTAATATTTTAATCTTCTTGTGATTAGTTTTTTTTTCATGTCCGATGTAGCTACTTGTACGATAGGCTGAGTAATTGTTATCAGCTGCGATTGATCTCGAACATTTGAGCTTAACTTACTTCTCAGAGAGCTTTAAATAATATTTAGTATCAAACATGAGATAATTCGTCTAATACACATGTGTTTTCTTTTGCCAACTAATAAATGGCAAATCATGATGATACATTCTTATTTGTTTTAAATCATCTGCATTCAACGAATATAATGTATGTATATGATTTATTAGAATAATAATAATTTTGCTACGCATCCGTTGACGTATATAATTTATTTAACAACATGAAAACTGATAATACTGATGTACTTATTGTTTTAAAATGAACATAAGTACATATGTAGGTAGAGAGTCATAAACGTCTGTTTTGAACCTTTATCTTGTTTGTTTGCTCTCATGCAAGTGTAGTTCTAAACTGCTATCTGCTGTCAGGAGTTAACTGCATGATATGTGTGTCTTGGGCGAGCATGCCAAGTGACACGTGACCACCGACGTACCCTCCGCCGATGTTACACTATATTGTAACAGTATAAAATGTACACACATACACACACACACACTAATAATTTATCCACATTAAACCAATGTGATGTAACCGCCTGACGCTTTAACTAAGCTATGATAATGACACGAAATAAAATAAGACCATTAATATAAACAAACTTATATCAGATTGGTTTACCCAACAGTAAAAGTAAACAAATAAGGTACAAGTCACTTTAGTTACGTAACCAGAGTTCACTGTTCAGTTCAATGTTTAATTGGTGTTTTGTGTTTCAGCATGAAGATTTACAAGTGAGGCTCGCAGCGCCCTACCAACTAAACCCGAAACCCGAAGCTACAGATCTTGGTTTTGGCAAATTCTTTACGGATCACATGCTCAAAATAAACTACTTCAAACAACTAGGAGGATGGCAGAAACCAGAAATTATGCCGTTTGAAAACTTAAGCATTCACCCAGCTGCCAAAGCTTTACATTATGCGATACAGGTATGTCCATTTGTTACTCTTAAGCATTATCTATGAAGCCTACAATCTTCGAAACTGCTAAAAAATACAAAATTATTAAATTCTTCTGAATTGGTGGTTTTATCAATGACGATATTAGACTTTTCTCTATCTATATTATAACAACTCCCTGTTTAAATATTTGTAGACTTCTTAGTAGTAATGAGAAGTAAATGGTAAATACAAACATAAATTGCTTGTTAGTTCTGTTAGTTGCAATTTCTAGAACTGTTATTGATGTTAACGCTTTATCAAAGCGGTATTGTCACATTAATATGCAAATGATGTCAGTGGGGACCTTACTGTATATGTAGTAGGTAGGCACGTATACCTACTGACAAGATGATAAAGTGATTATAATTTTATTACAGCTATTTGAAGGACTAAAAGCGTACAGGGGGGTCGATGATAAGATACGATTGTTTCGGCCGGAGTTGAATATGGAGAGGATGAACTTAGCGGCACAAAGGTCTGGCCTGCCAACCTTCGATGGAGACGAACTCATTAAGTGCATAACTAGGCTAGTGCAAATCGACCAGGAGTGGGTGCCTCATTCAGAAACCTCCACTTTATACATACGACCCACGTTAATAGGAACTGAGGTAAGCTAGGTTTTTAACTACATATGTATAATTAATTGAATTATTGATTCCAAGAAACCTATCTCGACATTTTATGAGGAAAACTTAGAAGTTCGAGCGGGTTTTTTAACGAAATCATGTACATTTTAAAAAATATATACCAAAACTAAATAAGGAATTAAAACTTATTTTCTTGATCCTACCATAAACATCATGGGTTTTTTAAATATCATTGGAGGGATGACTAGACAAATTAGGTTGATATTACTAATCAGTGGCCCCAGGGCTTCAAAAGTCACAGTTTTAATTACTCATAGATAATTGTGCTTCGATGGAAAGAACTAGAATAAATGATTCGGACTATCTAACGCCCCACATTTCATTACGATGTTTCAATAAAATTAAATGCTATATATAGTAACTTACGCATGCGTAGTAGCTTATCATAAATAAAAAAGCAATCAAAAGTAAGCATTTAAGTTTTTAATGGTGCCAATAAAATCTGTACACGCGGAAAATTGTAGCCCACTTGCTCTTATCTTTTTAAACTCCCCTTATTGATAATAATTTGGCAAATAACATTATTATCGATAAATTAGCAGATATCGCGAATAGATTTGTTCAATCATGCCATTTATTATCAGTATTGTTTTTAGGATTGTATCATGGACGTATATATGAATATTTTCGCTTCCAAGGCGTTTCACTTACGTAGATATGTTTAGGTATGTGTCGATCGATATTTCGTTTATCGGGAGTGAAGGACGATAATATAACAGATCGGTCATTGTTGTTAAGTAGGTGCTGTCTTATCAGTCGTAATGAACCTATACATTTGTTTTGATACTCACTTTTCCCCGAGCTCGGTTTATGTTTTTTAACCGATGACAAAAGAAGGTCCCGTTTTTCTTTTCAAAGCAATAAATATTTGAGTAATTCTGTACTAATTTATTTGTTGTAACTTGACAAAACGATGGAAACTAAAATGAGTTTTAATTAAAATTGGTAGTCAGGTGGTCGGCACGTTTAAAATAATAATGTTTATAAACTTTACTGATTGATATGAAATGAATATTCTTCAATAAAACTGTGTATAAGTTTATTGTCAAGTGGTGCAACTTTTTAAATATAAATAATGCTGCAGACTGCAGATAAGCGTATTATTGACCACATGACTGAAAACGTGCGATAAAAACTTAAAACATGTTATTTTTGCACAATCGGTCGCCTGTTGCTATTATTTGGGAATTAACTCTTGGTCACGTTTTTACTGCATTCAACTCTTTAGTTGTTATCATACATCAACTATTTGTTGTTGATTTTTTATTGTTATCGACATTCATTTTGTTTAAAAACAATTATGATGACAAATTAAAAGGTTTTAAGCTGTACATGCCCTTTTGATTTATTTTTAGCAGGTATAAAATTTTTATAGTAACCAAATCCTACTTATATGAATTAAATATATCTTTACTTATTTATTATTGGGAAGCTCATGTAAACAGATGAGAATTTAATTTAAATAAAAAAAAATTGTAACTTTTACCAAAATACCTAGTAGTGATTTACAAAAATACCATTCATTAAGTTAAATATAATAAGGAAAATACTTTTCCTAATAAGAGACAGAAAAAAGTATTGATATGTTTATACTTATTTGTTAACAATGTTTAAAAACGTAAATGCCGAGTCCTAGCAACTTTAACATTTAATTCAATAGACCCTATAAGCTAACTACGTACTACCTACGTACATAGATTGATTTATGTGAAATAATCGCATATTGATAAAAATCAAGTAAATGTTAGCTAATTTATTTTCCATCGCCTTGTTATCGCCCCCGATATCGGTTCAAGGTAAATAATTACCGATACAGCACTAAGTTATTGGCGTCTTCTTGATATTATTGAAGAAGCCACGCCTGTAGTAAACTAAATACTTATAATAGGCCTCAAAAAGGAAATACCTAAATCACAAACAGAAATAATTTATTGTATAATATCTAGCTCATAGAACAAAATACTAAAGCAATATCATTCGTCATTCCTTGAACCACTTTATTATTTAAATGTTCTGTTCTTTTATTATTTATGAGTACGACTTTAAAAATAAAATAACAAATAAATATATATAAAGTATTGGGTGTAGGATATTGTATTTATCTAATATGGTCTATGTGTCTATATAATATCTATGTGTATATTTTTAATTTGACTTTTGGTTATCGTTTTTATTACCTGTGTTAAACATTAGAATGTATACATACATACATAACTTCACGCCTGTCTCCCATGGGGGTAGGCAGAGACTATAGAACGCCAATTATTACGATTCCTACATAGCAAAAGGGCAATCCTCAGCCCGCTTTCTGCCTTTTCACTTATACATATCATGTTTTATTTTCCAACAGCCAACGTTTGGTATAATGGCTCCCGAAACGGCGTTGCTGTTCGCCATCCTTAGTCCAGTGAGCGCGTACTACAAGACTGGTAGTGACGGAGCAGTGTCCATTTACGCGGACCCCAATGTAGTGCGGGCGTTCCCTGGAGGAGTCGGCAACCGAAAAGTTGGCTCTAATTATGGACCCACGATCGGTACGTTTGAACCAGTTATATTATTTGGCAATCATCCCTTTCCCTGTAACATGCTTGCCTAGATAAAAGAGTATAGTGAACCACACTAGTTTATCAATAAACGTAGCCGGTGCAAACAGGAATAGTTATGTTCTGATTATGTTTACAGAGGCCACAGCTCGCGCAGCTAAACTGGGTCACCATCAAGTATTATGGCTGTTCGGACCGAACCACGAGCTTACCGAAGTGGGCGCGATGAACATATTCGTAGTTTACGTCAATGAACAAGGAGGTAATAATAATAATAATAAAAGTTATACATTATATTAACATTATTATTTACGTCTGTAACAACAAAAAATAACGTACGATCATGCGGTTAATGGTTGGATATCCGTGTGACTGGCTGATATCGAAGTGTTATCTGGTGCGTCGGTGGCACTCTGACCTTTTGACCGGTAAATTCTCGTCTCGTATCTGAAGCAACAATTAGGGTCAGTCACATCAGTTCGTTTTTTCCAGACTAGCGCTCTTTTTATTTAAAATGGTTCAAAATTATGCAATATAAACAATGTACTTGCAGATAAACAGTTAAGTACTCCGCCATTGAATGGTCTCATCTTGCCTGGAGTGACTCGTCGCTCTATCATAGAGCTAGCCAGCCAGTGGGAAGATTTAGTCGTCAAGGAAGAGGTTATTACCATGGACAGGGTAATCGAGCTGAACAAAAAAGGACGGGTAAGTTTCGTACTTCATATTTGTTAGTATGTCTTAATACAAAAGTTCAAAATATTAAGTGACCCCTACGTTCTTTCAGTTGTTGGAGATGTTCGGTGCGGGCACGGCCGTAGTGATCAGCCCCATCAGTAGGGTGGGCTTCCTGGACCATGAGATCCGCGTGCCCACCATGTCGCAGGCGCAGCCCGTGTACCAGCGCGTGAAGGACACGTTGCTGGCCATCCAGTACGGGCACATAGAGCACCCGTACGCCAAGGTCATCTCGTAGTGCCGGCCGCGGCTCGGGCCGGCTGCGACCCGACACTGACTATTTGCTAGTACGTCGCTAGCCGACGAGTTATGTGAATATACATATCGAAAACTGTTCTGTGCTGAGAAATAATCAGAAAACTTTCTGTGCCTAAATGTGTGGACGATAAATTATATTATTTAAATGATAACGTTTATTGATAAGTTAAGGTTACATTGAACAGAGAAGCGGACGATGTGTAAATGCTGCGCATTTGGAAGCACAAGAACTCGCCTAATTATACTGTTATCGTTAGCGCTATCAGTGTGTACGTGTTTATTTTATTTATTTATTCACTATCTACTATCTACGGGAGGACGTCAAGTAATTGGTTTTATTTCACTCGGTCGAGACATCGGCCGAGTATGAAGTGAAGTAAACGCGGACATTCTCAACTTGCTATAGTAAGTTGTATGGTGCTACTGTATACACTAGGAAACGTAAGCCATCCAAATCAAATTATGACTGTATTATTGTTGTTACAAAATATTAATGTTGGGTTATACGAAGTTAGGATTATTGTAAATATTATTTAGTTACAAATAGTAATAACTAGATAAAGAATGCCGTTTCACGTAATCGAGTGAGTACTCTTAGAGTAAGCAAAAAAGACTTATTGACTAAAAATGATACTAATAAATCATAACGAATGACATATCTATACCATGACGCCGCCAATAACAGACTTTTAAAACGTGATGTGATATTACTTGTAATTAATATAAAGCCGAAGCTTACTCTGTATATAATTAGTATAAACGTTTTAAGTTTAGACCAATGAACGATGCTGACGTAAGTGACGTTTTGACAAATCAATGTTGACCTATTTGTGAACTGAAGTATTGTATTTTCAAGATTTTGTTCAGTTCATTAAATATTGTAATTGATTTTGACCTTGAAATGGAAAGTAATCTAGCTGAACACGTGCATTTTTCTAGTCTAAGGTACGAATCTGTATGAATCCTTCAATATTTATTAATGCAATATATTTTTTTATTAAATAAATATATTTTTCATTTTATCCCTGGATTTTGAAACCAACTAAAAACGAACGAATATCTTGAAATTAAACTCATAATAAGCGAAAAATGAGTACTCATATTGTGTTCTAAGTGCATATCTGTGCCTACTCCTTCGAGGATTAAAATATTTCAGGCGTCCATCCGCCGTTAGGCTAGTTAGTTTCAGCCCTAAGTTTGATAGAGAAACATAAATATAAAATTAAAATTAATGAAACAATCCCAAAACCACAGATTTTTACGCAATTAATGAAATTAACATTATTATTTGGGGTTGAAACTTTATGGCCGTGGGGCCCAAGTGCACATCTTTACAAAGATATTTTAAGGAGGGTGGTTAACACTTCAGGTGATTAAAGGGCTTGCTTGGACAAAGTATGTATAATAAGTGTAGGGGAAGGCAAAGGTTAAGCATTGCCTTCAACGTGGTGATGACGACGACAATGATGCCAGTTTTTTGGGCACCCTACCTCACGATAGCGCTGAGGAATTTTTTTTTGTAGCTTTTAAGCCAAGGTAGCAATTTTTTAAGGTGTAAATATTTTAGTTTTTAGTTATTTGTATTTAAGTTGTATATATTTATTAATAATTAAGTTATTTAAATTAAAAATTAACATTACTGCCTCGTTGGCCGAGTGGGCGCAAGTGCGACTGCTGGGCAAGAGGTCTCGGGTTCGATTCCCGGGTCGGGCAAAGTATTACTGGCTTTTTAAAAATCTCAGTAGTAGCACGGAGTCTAGAAATGTGCCCGGTATATGGCAATAGGCTCACCCCCTATTACATGGGACTCATAAAATAAATAGTGAAAAGTGGGTGTTACATTGTATAGTGGCATTTAGTGCCGTAATGTGCACCTCTGCCTATCCCTTCGGGGATAAAAGGCGTGATGTTATGTATGTAATTAACATTAGTCCAGTATACTATAAAAGATAAAATTGATTGGTTGGAACTTTGGTAATTAGTGAATTACGCAAGAAGGAAGACATTCGAGATTACCGGGTTGATGACAATCATGTCTTCCGCAATATAGGTACCTTTATTAACATCCGTAATGATAAAACATAAATCACATAGGCCCTAATTAATGAAGTAATTTCAGTTTTATTTCATCATTAAATGAAGCAGCGACTGTAGTTCTCTTCTTTTTTATTTAAAAAAAAAAAAAAAAAAAAAAACGTTGCCCCACACTAGGATTTTCTCCTGTATCGTAGGTGCGTTTACAAACATACAAGTTCACTTACACAATAACACCCAGACCCGAAACAACAATTTGTGGATCACACAAAGTGTTGTTCCGTGCGGGAATCGAACCCGCGACACGTTGCACGGCAGCCCAGCCACCGCACCAACCATGCATTCTAGTTTTTACCAGTTAGAGGGTTGTACCTGCATCATTCTTTGTTAGACCTGGTGTAATTTATGTGTCTGAAAACACAATAATAGTATGATTTTTTTTTTTTTTTTTAAGGGGGGGAAATCATCGAATGGCTGCTCCCGCCTGGGTGAGGCAGAAGGGAGTGTCAGACTCTTACTGACTAAAAACCACCCCGTTCCTTCTCCTGCACGTCGAGCCGGAGCCCCGGTTACCCGTTAGGTTCTCCGCGACAATAATAGTATGATAGCAAGACTCGATCGTATAAAGAATCTATCAAAATTATCTTAACAGTTTCATGGTATACGTTAGTAGGCGCACAGTGAAGTGCCTTTCTGGGTCCGCCTATGTTATCCAACTTGTTTTGGCTATCTATTATCTAAACATATATACTAAAACGCATTAACACATTAGTGTTGAACAGAATGCTGCGATCTAGTTCATGAATCATGATAATGACCGCACCTTTTTTGATAAATATGCGAGGTAAATAAAATTTGATCAAGACATTTAGGTCTATAAAATATGTACCTACCTCTGTACTTCGTGCAAGCCAAACCGATGTGTGAGGTAGGTCAGTCACTTCCTAAGAGCAGCCCTACTTAACGTATTGTAGGTTCAAGAATCACACACCAAGCATTAAGTCGTATATAAGCTTCGTTTTGCATTTTCTATTGCTTATACCACGGGGAGTGCACTGAGGAATTGTTTGATCCGATACCTGTCGCGTCTTTTCGCCATGGAACCTCAGGACAGCATATATCCACGCCCATTATATCGGCAAGCCACAACTATATGCTTCTCTCCAAAACTATGGAATGATCTGTCGTCGGCGGTATTTCCGAACAGATACGACATTACCTTACCTTCAAGGAAAGAGCGTATTCCTTTTTAAAAGGCCGCCAACGACCGCTCTGGTGTTACCTACAGATGTCCATGGGCGGTGCTGATCGCTTACCATCAGGTGATCCGTATGCTCGTTTGCCTCCTATTCCATAAAAATACCTATGTAGGTATATATATCATAATTGATCGTAATCTGTAATAGGTTCTGCGGTTGATGAGAGTTGATGAAATCAAGGAATAATGCTCAGAGACTTAGTACCTAGTGGTGCTTGCTTTAGGGCCAATATATAATTATACCTTATCATTAAATCAATATTGTTTTCTTGCATGGTACCTGGACGTGGAACAGGACCCGAATAATATGCTAAATTAAATAAAGTAAGCGAACAGCATTTTAACGACTGATACTCCTTTAGAAGAGGGATCTGTGTGGGCATACTGACCATATATCTTATTAGAAACTGTATTTCACAACATGTAAATCCTATGCAATTAATCAGTAGACATCTAATCGTTACTTAAATAGTTTTGAAGTCCTTATCGATTTTTTTAATAAATCACGAGTAAGTAGACAACACTTAGGCACAATAATTTTTTTACGACAGATATCAACAATATACCTACATAATTATATGGGGAGAACGAAGCCACTACTTACCTACCTAATCTGTTTTTGAAATCCGCTGACGTAGGCAGACAATAGTCGCACAGTTTTATTTTAACACTTGTTTATCAATAGATAGCATGTGTGAAAAATATGATTTTCCAAAAATTCTCACGATAAACAGAATAAAAAATGTAATGAATATCTAATAATGAAACAAGCAAGACTTTTATACCTTAAAAACCACGTGTTCCTTGTAAGTAAACAATACAGGACCCACAGCCTGTGCCAGTGTGTAGGTAAGAAAAGACTTAAGAAGGTGTTGCGATGTCATACGATACGATTAGTAAGTTACCTAACAAGCAAAGTAATCCTATTAAAAATATAAGACTATTACTACTTATAACGTTCTTGTAAAGGCATTGACATAAACTCTTTAACTTGGGTATATCATTTGCAAAGCCTTGAGATATTAACAAGAGTTTTTACACTTGTAATTGTATAGTCTAATATCATTATAGACGCTATTGCGTTTTGTCAAGTATATTATATAGGGCTTAATAACATTGTATAAGATGGTTATAAGATAGTTACAGAACTAAACGTTCCTATAACTGTGCCCAAATGCAACGTTGTAGCATAATAATATATTTTCTATTATAAGTGAAAATAAAAATACTCTTAAAGAACACTTTATTGAGTTTGCTTGATGAACTTAAAAATCAAATAAGGAAAATATTTTCAAGGACTATATAACTATTTTATTTGAATAAAATATTACAAATTTACCGTAAAAATTGCATTATATTACTAAAAAATAAGGTCACAATAACAATAAACATTAATTTCACTCAGGTGGCAGTGGCAGGTCATCATCAAATTCATCGATATGTTTCTTCTTGGCTTCCGAACGGTTTATAGACCTGTTCACCGGTTGCAAACCATCCTGGTTCGACGTGGCTGAATACCTGGGAAATAATCGAAGAGAGATTTAGCAATAGTTGAAAAATTATATCTATTTCAGGTTACACTTCTTAGATTTTGAGTCTTATTGGGGATCGTCGTTTTAGACCATACTAATATGGAGGCCAAAGCACAACGACAATTAAAAAATCTACAAATTGGCACTTTTAGGTTAGGTACCAGATGTAACAGTTGCTTCCTTTGCTAGTTGATAAAGTCATGTAAGTACGCGATTATCACAGTCACCCATGACTTACCAATCAAAATTAAATACTGCTTATCACAGTCACCCATGACTTACCAATCAAAATTAAATACTGCTAACTGCTATGGTGTGCATGCTATTCGAACTTCAAAATCTGTAATCATCTAATCAATTCCCGAATGTATACTAATTGATTTAGGTAAGTACATGACATTTGCAAAAGGTCTGTCCAAAAAGGGCATTGTTTATATTTAGACATGATGCTTACCTCGTGACTACAGGTGATAGCCATTGGCACTTTCCACTAAACGTTAACTACGCAAATGTGATTGAATTGATTAAGGAATCAACCCAATAAATATTCAGACGATTGACCCTGTGGCGCCAGTCTCAGTTTTTTAGTACAATCGTCTGGTGCGCAGTAGCGTTAATGAGGCAAAGTTCTCACGCTACATTCACCAGGGGTTAACATTGATTTGCTAATACTTGATTAACTTAAATATAAAAATTCCAATAAAATTATGATTACTGAAACAAGCTAAAAGTTTCACTTAAACGTTGTTAGCATTTTTGAAATAGATACTACCAATTTATTATGGTTACGCACCTATTCTAAAATGAGCCTAGGTACAGGTTACATCTAAAAACATACTCCTATAAAGATCCTAGAACGACTGGAACTAGATGGCAATGAAAAAGGTGGTAGAAACTGAGTTAATGTCTGTTTAGTACCGAACTTCGCTTGATGTAAGAAAGAATGAAATGTATAAAGAAAGTGGCGTAGGAGTAGTAGTACAGTAACTCACGTGTATGTCCTATTGAGCGCACTGTCGGGGCGGGTGTCGCTGGAGCGGCGCGAGGCCGCGGGGCCCGCCGCACTGTCCACGCGACCACCGCCTGCACAATCCCATGTACGTACTTACCTACTTAGGTACTATTTACATTCATTACATATTCATGAATAACCGATCATGTAAGCGTAACAATATGATGGTGCTATCCTTAATCACACGACGCTGTAAAGGCGTTAAAATAATAACTTTTGAAACGTAATCATGAAGAATTCGGATCTCACGGACTTGTTTTAAAAAAAGGTGTGTATCACGTAATTCCATTGAAGTTTAGATACAATCATGAATCACCCCTGAACAGGTAGCGACGTAAATATCATATTTGTTCACAAATAACGATTAATCGAAAACAAATAGAAATGATAAGGCAAATATGTTTTTTTTTCTGGAATTTCCGCGATTTAACCTTATTTTAGAGATACTCGTGTGCGATAAAAAGAAAAACAAATAGTGAGCGATTGAAAGGCTTATGCAATGTTTTGTAGTATTTACTGTATTTTCGTGTAACTGACCTCTGATTTGGTCTATAGGTGATTGACTGGCCCCCGAGGAGATACTTCCGGCTGACGTAACTGATACTGCAAGTAAAATCAGTTCAGGTTTAAACTTCACCGTTATTTGCTTCATCGACGTGATCTAATTTCTGAGATAAGATACGCGATGACTCTCGTCGTTCGATACACAATACATGCGCATTATAATTTCACATTACTGATGACAATAACAAGAGTGCGTAGTATTTTTCCTTAGATGATAAATAATTCAAATATTATTATACATTCCATTGATTATGTTCAATGAAATCAATTAACTTTTCAAGGTTTTATAATAGAAAAAATATGTTGTTGACGTTACCTCCATTATTGTTAGAATCAATTAACCAACATTACATTTTTTTTTATTAAATTATTGAAATGTGTTTTATGATAGAATTGACTATTTACAATTGGAACAGATAATAAAATGAACATTTTGAAAGTGATCTTTAACAATCCAAGTCAGATCTGCTAAGCGTGAAGACAGAAACCCTCCATAAGCAGAGATGGTCTAATTCCATAGTCAAAAGTATCACAGGTTATTTTTATTATGTTATAGTGAGATAATAACAAACCTTGTTCTTTTTGTTTCACTCTCGCTTGTGCACGTTGAAGTTCTCGGGTCCAAGACGCAGTCTCTGAGAGGCCCTGATCACCGCACAGCTTTACTATCAACTTCAGACCTAGTTACATACATTTCAATTACATAATTGCCTGCTAACTGACTGCATCGTTGGCCGAGTGTTCGCAAGTGCGACTGCCGGGCAAGGGGTCCCGGGTTCGACTCCCGGGTCGGACAAAATATTGCTGGGTTTTTTAGATTTACAGCAGTAGCACGGAATTGTGCCCGGTATATGGCAATAGGCTCACCCCCTATTACATGGGACTCATAACATAAATAGTGAAAAGTGGGTGTTACATTGTGCACTTTTTCCTACCCCTTCGGGGATAAAAGGAATGATGTTATGTTGTGTCATACAGCGATCTAAGATAATTGAAATGTATTGTAAAAAATGAATGTGTGAAGTGGAAATGCATTGTATTGTCATTTAACTATTATCTTTATTTAATTTAATAATTGTATTTTTTTAGTTATGATGCTAACTAAGAGCCTATAATATCAAAACTGCCTTGTAAGTCATGTAGACACAAGCGCGACTATCAGTCGTTTCCCGAAACCGGAAGAGTAATGATAGGGCCAAATCATTTTCGAAAATTATCTGTTATAGATATTACGAAATCAGGAGTTGTGCTTTTATAGTTCAATTACACAACTGACAAAAAGTGGGTGTTATTAATTACTAAACTCCTTCGGAGTCCAGCCGTCTAAAAGGCGTCATTTTATGTCATAAAAACTACTTACATTGGACGTTGTCAGGGAACCGTGTGTTCATCTTCTTGTACAGAGACAGTGCTTCTTGATACCGTCCGCTCGCGCGCAAACACGCTCCCGTCAGCAACCCCCATTGTGGCTGCGAGGAAAATGGCAACAGTAAGAAAATATTGAAGAGCAATAAATTGTAGGATAGTGACTCAATGTCACATGTCAGATAAAAAATACTATAATATAATTATGTAAAGTAACAAGAAATTTAAAATTAACTTCTAATTTCTCTATACTTCGCTAGTCGGCAAATAACGATTTATTTACCTATTCCTTAATTATATTTCAAAAATTACTTGCCAATTCTGATATATGTCATACTTTTTTGTAAATGCTTAAAGTAATACATAATCTTATTATAATAAGTATGACTTTACCTATTAAAGTACATAAGTATCATTAAAACTAAACATGACCACAAAAAGAAACAATGTTTTCAATAATATAAGGTCAAAATATGTGATAACTATCTTTGTTTTAATATATTATTATTGTAATATGATATATAATCGTTGTGGGCTGACGTAAAGCAATTCGGAAAATAGAATGTTCTTCGATAAGAAGTTAATAGAATACCAGCAATGTTTTTGATCTCTTTTACGAGATATTTACTAAGTAACTACAGTTTATTTATACACTGATTATAATCGATACTGATATAATTTCTTCGTTAGCGACTGGACTCAGAACTATTTACAGTCGTGTTGTAATGTTACGAAGAACCTTCCAAAAATATGTTGCAAATCAGCAAATATTTTGAACTAGCTTTTACCCGCGGCTTCGCTCGCGTCACAAAAGGATAAAAAGTAGCCTCTGTGACATTATACCAATACACACAGCGCCATCTATACCAATAATTTCGTTTTCTCTCGATAATATCATATTTTTCCGGGATAAAAAGTACCCTATTATTTAATCCAGACTTCTAACTTCACGTCTGCAAAAATTCAAAGCAATCGGTTTAGTTGTTACGGCGTGAAAGTGGAACAAACAAACTCACTTTCCGATTTATAATATTAGTAAGGATAAGGATAAGGATTCAGGCTATCCATTTGAAATTAGGCTGAATAAAACGAATACTCCGAAAAACCGATACTAACCCGGGTTTCCGGAAACATTATATAGCCAATGAATTGTTATAATATTAGAGCAAAGTCGATGATGGACAAGATAATTATGTAGCCTATCTATCTACTTATCTAACATTATCAAAGCTACTAAGAATATTTCAACAAAGATCTGTTCTTCCACGAAAAGTACTTTGGTATTCAATATTGATACATTATGTTTAATTTGTAAATAGTAAACTAGTAATATCTAGTTCTAGTGCATACTGAAACTTAATTACTTTGAAACCGGTTCGTTCCGAAATGTCCTACTGGTTATTACTGTTGACTGTTGGTACAGATCACGTAGCAAATATCGATATTGAAGTTATGAATACTAAACAATATTTAATACAGTGTTAGCGTACCTATAATATCTTTTGTTTCCTGCCTGAAGAGCTGGCCGATACAACGATTCTATGTCCAATAGAATGCATATTTTACGATCCTAATCGATAAATTAACGCCCATGAAAAAAAGATTTAGTGCAACTATTGAGAATGTCCAAATTAAAGAAGCGTGTGCTACTTCGTATACCTCAGAAATGGACTTATCATGTTTAGTTTAGCAGATGTGTTTGTGATCCGATGATACGGTATGGAATAATGACATTAAGTCAAAATTAGGTAGTACTTAACAAATTTAACTACTCAACGTTAGCAGATGCCATGTGTTGACCCTTATCACTAAGATCATCAACACAACAAAAAATATGATTATTTATGACTTGTAAATGGTGCAGTTTAAAGAAAATGAGTACTTATACATTGTTAGGCTGCAGCCTGGCAGCGCGGCGGTAGTACTGCAGCGCCACGTCGGGCGGCGCCTCACTCGCCAACCACTCCAGCGCAGACAGGTCACATGGCCACACTGCTTCCACCTGCGTATAATATTAAATATGTAAACATTATCGATGGACGTTGATAAAAACGAATGAAAAAGCAGAAAAAGTGGTCATAAGCGTATTAGTTTACCTCATCATTAGAGTAGCTTTTTTACCCTCTAGAGAGACCCTGACTCTACCTATTAAAAAGGGGCAATGTTGAATTTTTACGCTCCTTAAATCCATAAAAACTTAATTTATTTCCAAACGACGATCAACTGACAGATTGTATGCAAGTATAATAGAAATTTTACTTTAATTGTAATGTTTATTTCAATTTTCACCAAACATAAAGTGCCAACACAAAATATAAGTTGTTTGGTGTCAATATAGTGAACAAAAATATTATGAATGTTTTTGTCAGTAGTTCAGTACACACATGGTAAATATAAAGCAATTCGGGCTATCATAATCTATTGAACCGATGTTATTGAATAATGTATGAGAAACGCGGGGCGGCGCGTGATGCTACCTCGTCGTTCACTGTTATGGTACAAGGTCGACCATTACTATGTCACACTCACACGCCTGAAATATACATTAACACGAATCTTTAACGCTTTTTAATAATATTTATTCAATGCAAAGCCACTTTATTTCGGTATCGAATTAGACTGTATTGACCACTATCTGCGCCCCAAAAACAATAAAGAAAAATGAATATTGTGCCAATTGCAATTGCTTCCTCATTCGATATTTAAAAATTAGAAATTTAATATCACTGTAATTTATATTAATAATTATTTGTACTCTGTGTGATCTTCAGGCAATATACCACAACGAATTTCCGTAGATATTCTTTAAACAGTTCATTTGCACTTTTCAGTACGGAACTGCGCAGTTTTAGATTATAGGACAGAATATAGGACGATCCACTATACATTCTAGACTATTGACGTACTGAATAATCAATGTAAATCATATATTATACGGTTTTAGAACGCATTTGTTTCTTGGAATTTGCGTTCAACTTGAAATACAGGTCAATTACCTCTTTTCAATTTTATTTTCATTTGCTTCAGTTGCCAATAATCTTATTAAAAGTTATCCTATCTCAACATTAAATTATATTTTTATCCAAAAAGGGCTACGCGGTTTTATTTTTGTCGGTTTTACTTTTCGTTGACTACTTAATCATAGGTTTATTAACTCTGTCTTCAAAAAGTAATTTTTTTACTCACATCTTGATAGTGATGCTTGGCAGTTTGGGTGTCGCCCATCTCGCTGTGCAGTTGTGCAAGCGCACAGGTTACTCCAATATCGAAGTTGCCGATGAGACTGTACCTAAAATTATTAAAGAAAATAATTTTATTGATGCGAGAGGGACATTCTTACTGTATAAAAATCACATCATTCCAACTCTTGCCTCAGGCCGAAGCCACGGTAACTTTTTGCTCTTTACTCTCACCCACGGCCGGGCACAGGGCGCAGTGGGGCCCATCCATGAAGGTCTGATGGCTCTTTGAGAGACCAACGAGCTATCTACACAAAAGGCCGTGTAGTATACCTGGACCTACCAGTGGTCTGCAGCGCTGGCGTCGTGAGTAGTATGGTGCGCCCGCGCCAGGCCGGCGCCGGCCAGCGCCCGCAGCGTGGCGCCCGCGCCGCTCGCGTTACGTACTAACGACCAACGAGCTATTGCGCCCTCCAGCGCACTTTCGTCTCCACTCCGCTCTAACGCTAGAGCTGGAGAGGAAATGATAGATAAATAATAGTTATTTCCCGTTTGGGTAAAACAGTAGAGTGGATAAGTCTTATAATTTACCCAGATCATGCGCAGCGATGAGATCAGCAGGGTCTAGATGTGTGGCGGCGGTGAGAAGGTCGGCGGCGTCCCTCCAGGCGAGCCCGGCGCCCGCCGCGCGCGCCGCGCCCAGCGCCGCCGTCACTCGCGCCGCGCACGAGTACGGGTCGTCGCGGGACGCTGCCTCACTCAGCTGACGAGCTTCCGACCAGTTGCCCAGCTGATATGGGAATATTTACAATAATGATGAGTACTGGTGGTAATTTTTTTTATAAAGGTGCCCCAAGTCCCAAATGTAGAGGTAGGTAGGTACTAGCAAACTTCGGTTTACGCCATTGCCTTTTCTTATATAATTATACAAACTTGCAGGCATCCCTTGAGATGCCCCATGTATCATAAAAATCTAGTCAACACATAAATAAATCTTTCGTGATTCTGAAATAATTAAAATCAGTTTAAATTAAATCGCAGTAAGACCCTGGTACTAACCGCATAAGCCACGAAGGCAGCATCAGTATTGGCCTCAGCGCGCAGTACGCGGTCATGTGGGTGTGCGCGGGCCACGGCCTTCAGTCGCTGCACGGCGCGCTGTGCGGCCCCCACTCCGCCGGGCCCCGCGCCCCCCGCCGGGCCCCCGGGGCCCCCCGGGCCGCTGGCGGGCCCCGTGGCGCGCGTGCGCAGTGCAGCCAGCGCGGCGCCCAGCTCCAGGCGAGCGCCCGCCGCGCCGCCGCTGTAGCCCCGTAATGCCTCCACACACCATGACATACCGCTACATAGAATTACACACTATTATTTTTTACACTGAATTAACGTAGTCACCACATACAGGTGCATGGTCTGACCCAACAACTGCAAGGAATTGCGTTCATTATACATATAAGACCTGGCGCAACATACCCAGAGTCCGGTCCCCTGGAGCCCGGGCGCTGCATGGCGGCGGCGGCGGCAGCGAGCGCCAGACATCGCTCGGCGTGGGCCGCGCCGCGCCGCGACCACCGCGACAGGCGGTCGCCACGCACCACGTCGCGGACCACGCACTCGTATGCATCATTTTCCTGATAATGCAGTAATAGTCATTTATCAGGTATACGTTATTTGTGTAAAAGCAGAAGTCTTTCACGTGTCAAACCAGTATAGGCGTGATAGCATGTCTTCTTTTAACTGCCCTTATCCCATAAGGGTCGATAGTACATCTATTTGCTTTCATGTTATACACTCCATTTGCTATTGCCTAATGCTTCATAGAATTAAGCCATCTTATCTTTATTCTCAACTATTTTCCTTTTGGAAATAAAACGATTCAATCAACATTTTGATGAATTACTTTCTTGCATTTATGAGCATGCAGACCGATTGGTTACTTCTTCAAAAATTCACGTGGTTAAAGTTAACAAATTACTCACGTCATCAATATTAATATCTTGGTGAAATGTGGGCGGCTCCACGTCCAGCATGGCGTGAAATGCCGCTTTGGCACCTTCAGCGTCGTTCAACGCCACCGAACATAGCACTAAGTGTAAACCTGCCAACACAAACATATGGACTTCATTGTAATTTTTTACTTTATTTATATATTAGGAATGACTAGCAGCTTCCTCTAAACCTTATTATTATTGCGATCTGCAGGCCGCTTGCGAGTGTGGATGTGGATCATTATTTCTTTTACCAGTGAAACGAACCTATTAGATGGTGGTGCATACATACATAACTTCACGCCTGTCTCCCATGGGGGTAGGCAGAGACTAAGGAACGCCAATTACTACGATTCTTACATACCTCTTTCGCTGCATTAACAGTCATCAATCGTTTCATGCATGCTCATCTGTTAAGGGTACTCTTAATTTGGCCCTTCTTTAATATATCGCCAATCTGGTCACTATATGTCCGTCTAGGGCGCCCTCTACCGACGGCCCCATTCATATCCGCTCTGTATACTTCTTTCGTTACTCTACTTTTATCCATCCTTTCTACATGTCCTAGATGGTGGTGATGATATAAAATAAAGTCTGAAAACATTATTAATCTCAAGTATAATGTATAATTTTGTATACAGTTTTGACTCACCAGTCTGAAAATCTCCTTGTTCATGCATGATATGTTGAAAATTTGTCACAGCGTCGCGGAACTTTCCCATGCGTACTAATAGGAGGCCTATGTTGTGCATCACTTTCATTCTGAATACGAAAGAAAGAGACAAAATAAAGAAAAATCTACTACTTAACATAACACCAATACTAATCATTACTAACACACCGTTTAAAATTAAGAAAATAAAACGTGTTGCTTGATAATATTTAAATTAGATACCTCAAATCCTTCTCAGCTGTTGGTGTTTGATCTAGAGCCATTCTGTACAACTTTAAAGCTTTTGGGTGTTCACCCATTTTGAAGTAGATGTTCCCCATATTCACCTACAAAACGCGTTATGATTATTGATTTTAAATAGATGAGTACCTATTGAAGAATTTGCTAGTATTTTTTTTATATTTTTTACATTTAATTTAAAAAATAAGTTAATGTATGTGATTACAAAATGGTTTAACGAACACATGTCATACCTTCAGTCGATTGGCATGAGGGAATAGTTTATTTCTGGTGAGCAGTTGGTACGTGTTTAAAGCCTCGGTATACATCTCATTTAGCGCGTACTGTCCCGCCAAATTGCAGAGCACCTGAAATTATGCAATTTTGATTTAACGTACTAACTAGCACACAATTTTTATAGTAGCTAATGTGACATGAGACATAATAAATTAATTACACCAAACGCATTAAACATCGTCGCACATACTTAATACTGCTAGGATCATGGGCCCCTATCGTGACTTGAAACCAGTCAAGTATTCTCGCTGAACAGTTACGTAAGCCGTATGGCCGTTAATTAAGACAAGGGGAAAGAACTTTAATGCTGGAATACTGAAACGTTACTCAATTTTAAATATCGTGCTATCGTTGTCGTGCTTAAATATCGTGTTATCTCTGTCATTTTACAAAGAATTAGTGGTGATGGTGACAGAACTATACTTAAGCACGACTTAAAATTGAGTACCGTTTCAGTATTCCGACATAAGCAAGTTAAATAAGTATAAATTTTGAGGAAATTGATAAATGAACTAAAAGTTTATAAGTAACACTTACAGCAAAAGTAAGATCCAAGTTATGTGTATCACCAAGATTAGCTTGTTCTTGCATTCGAATCAACTGTCGTTCCAACGTTGATGCTTCTTGTGCTTTGGCCAGAGCCTAGAATACGTAAATTATAAAAGTAAAGAAATATTCCAATATAATGCGGATCAATTTTTAACCGAATGTCATTGAAAGTAAGTTGATTTCGGCTTACCTGTCCTAAGTCGAGCTCTTTCTTTGGTGCAGTATCGTCATCAGGGTCTGAACGTGCACTGAGCATACATGACTCTTCAACCAGCGTCATTATGCGAGCCTCCATTTGTTTTACTCGTTCCTCGATACTGTGTAAGAAAAATTATTATTATCATCATCATTATCATAGTTTAAACTGTCAAACACCAAGCGGTCACCGGTGACCGCAACCTATTGTTCTTTAATTGTGTCTATAAATACAGTATTCGACGAGTTAATCCCTTATGAGATGATGGAGAGTTTCCGTTATTCCTGACCGAATTGACTAGGGAACACCATATCTCAATCAGAACCGTCCGGTTTAGTGACTAAACTAATTAAAGGTACTCTGAATTAGTGTACCTATCCTCCTTAACATCGTCCCTGGTGGGCACTTCTCTGGTAGTAGATGTATAACCTGCAGCTCGTACGGCAGTGACAGGCCGCGCCGCAGTACCTGCGCGGGAACTGGTTGCACGGACACTCACCGTGCCCATACGCATCATCTGGAAGCACAGAATATTATATTAGGAGCGGACTTTTATACAAATCGATCACTCTGAAATCTGCAGCGACAATTAAAGAATGAGAACCGACTGCCGCGCAACGTGTAGCGGGTTCAATTGCCGAACGAAGTCACTCTTAGTCAGACGCTCAAATTGCTGTTAGCACGTGACATGTGCATGTGAAATTGTATGTTTGTAAAACTACCCACAACACACAAGAAACTACTAGTGTAGGGCAACAATAAAAAAAAAAAACAAAAATCAAGGTGAATTTTGAACGCCTAGGTACCTAATTGTCACTGATAAGTTTCGAATTTTAATCGGTATTGCCTATTTCAGAAGCGTAGTAATAGAAACATCACCCATTTTATTCCCCAAATATTTGAGGTTTGCTCAAATATACGTATAATTACCCAACAGGAAAAAGTGCACCGTTAATCGTTAATAATAAATCCGCTCATAATTTACTTAATATAGACACAATAATCATTGTAGGGTCATGTCTCTCATTTTGCTGTTGAAAAAATAAATAAGGATACATACTGATGATTATTTTTTGTATTCGAGTTTTGTTGGCACGTGGCATGCGTTGTAGTAGGTAATCGAAAAACAAAAAAACTGCGATTTCCACTCACCCCGGTACCCATTCTGCTGGGCAGTTTCCTTCCGATGGCGGTCGTCCGCAGTGTCTCCTGGAAGTCATGGTCTTCTCGCAGGTTGCGAGTGTCCAGTGCGGGAGCCACCTCATTGAATCCTGCGTACAACTCGTCATCCTCGTCAACTACCATAGCAGTTCGCGGCTTCGCATCCGTACCCAGTCGCGAGGCACTATAATAACGCGAACTTAACATTGTTGTAGCGCAAATTAACACTAAAAAAGCTTATCTCCGATACACCGTCTTCGACAAAAATTACAGCCTTTGTTGTGACGCCGTAACTATAGCAACCGATGTCATATCAACTACAGAGGTCGACGATAATAGGTCAAAGTCAGATTTAATCATGGAATCTTCTTAGTATTTTTTGTAAATATCGCCGCAAGTAGCCGTTCTAAATTAATTTTTCTATAACTAAAATAATAAGGCAAAATATACACGTTCAATATTTATTACTTCTAATACATACAATCAAGGTCCATCTCATTATAATCACACCAGTGAAACAATTTATTAGTTTTAGCTAAAATAAAAACAACTGACTGAAATAGACATCACATTAAAAAACATATTTTAATTTTATAAATCAGTGCTATTGGAAGACGCTGAAAATATGTTTCACTTGTTCAATTTTCACTCGAGATAAGAAAACGTAAAGTATCCTAACTTAAAGACTAAGCAAGTTATACAAAGTAAACGATAAACGATACAAACGAGATGTCACGACACGGAAGCCTACTCCTGTTTCTGACTGTTAACCTTTTACTTAAACATTCAAAATATTGGGTACAAAAATAAATGATTATAAAAGTTAATATTGTATCGTTATTTAACGTAATAACAATGATCTCTTATGTACATTTTATGATTTTATGTTTGCGATTTTATAACTACCTACTGAAAATAATGTTAACAATGAAAAAATATTTCGTGACCCTAAAAGACTAGTAAGAAATGCAAGGTATTCATATTTTTGTACACTTTTCACTTATCATTAAGATAACACCAGATAAAAATAATAGAAAAGTCTATTAACATGGATATGACTTAGATGTTAACAATTCATAGTTATATTTTTACTTGTCATCTATAAAATTTTCATTATATTTACATACATTTAACAATATTCACTGACACCAAGACACTTTCGCACGTACATTTATAATTAATAGGTTCGACAACATTCGACAGCCGAAAAGAATATTTCACAGTAATATGGCAATATTATCTTAGGTCAACTCTATAACATTATCTTGTCAAACTCTATTTTATATCCATTAACTCTTACATGGCTAGACTATATCATTATTAGTAGTCGTTACAACAAGCATTTGAACATTAAGCACACAAATATAGCACTATATGATTTGTTACATGTTTTAATTGACTCTGCAGTAATTGATGGTCTATTATGAATTATATTCTAGCCATGGATACATTGAACCACATCAACATATCACATCCATTGAATCACAATTACACTTTATTGTTCTCATTAATATTACAAGTATGTACTTATCGAAATCTAACAAAATGGCATTGTTTAATTCAAATTATGTATGATAGAAAACTATGTTCAAATCAGTTACAATGTAATTATTAATTGCATTAGAAACAATTTGGTGTTTTATCTTTTTATAATTAATCTGCTTACCATAATATATTATAGCCTCTTATATTCTATTTCCGTTCATATATTTCTATCTTAATCCATAACATTATAAGACTCCCAAGTATCCATTTTGTTAAGCGTTTGGAGTTAAAATATAGCTGCCATATTATATCTGTTTGTTTAATGTAGCTTGTATTGTCACTAGTTGTTACTTTGTTAGTCACATTATACTCATAATTTGGGTTTAGGGTCACTGTGATCACAATATGAAGCACCAATGTGTGGCAAGTGTATGTATAACTCAAGCACACCAGTCATGCACAACTCGACGAGATATCTTTGAATGATTTAGTATATTAAAGCGGGGGCTATCCATGTACTTGTTTGTAACATGTTACACGGACAGTGGGGGAGATCGGGGAAGGTGCGAGGGTAGGCTCGCTAGATCTGGGTGGAGAAGCGCGGCCGCGGTAGCTCGTACACGTCGCCGTGCACTGACCGAGCCAGTGCCTTGATACTCGCCGCTATGTCTTGCGGGTCCTCCTGTAATAAATTCAATAAATATTTATTCTATAATCGAAATGTTACGTGATTAATAAACAATATGTATTACATAAATATAATAAACAAGTTGGGAAATACTTACATCATCATCCAAATCCCGATGACTTGGTCTGTCAACGGGGAACTTTGGCATATTCATAGGTAGAGAACGTGCTATCATATCAACTCCGCCGCCGCCGCGAGGACGAGAGATATGGATACCCTCGTCATTACTACCTTCTGTAAACAACAGAGTTAATTTTTAATACCAAACATAAGAAATAGAGATTATTGTTTTTTAGATTAATTATTATTTTTTCTAGACTAAACTAGTCCAGTTCCTCGTCAAAGAATTACGTGAGTAAGCCAAAAACACAATCATTAAGAAATATAGTTTTTAATAATTTCCCTGCCAGGTTAGTGCTGTGCTTACAGATTGTTGTTTCGGGTCTGGGTGTGATGTGCATGTGAATTTGTATATTTTTATACACACACGACAGAAAAAACCACTAGTGTGGGGCAACATCCTTTTAAACAAAAAATGTACGTGTAATGTGTGAAGTAGCTAAAAGTAGTAGTAGTATAGTATTTTATTTCAGTATCCAATGAGAAGGGATGGGTATCATATAAATCTGTCATTCATTACACTAAAGAGCTGGCTCAATTCCAAGGTCCTTATGAAAAAATAAAGTGCTGTTTACCATTTCTATTTATTGCTGTATCAATTGTACTAATCCATGAGTATTAGTAGTTTTTGTATTTTTCCTTATTTTTTGTGATTTATTTGTGGTTATCAAAGTATATGTATGTAAAGAAATTAATATTTGTCTAATTATACTTACGATCAGAATCATAATCGTCCTGATCAGAGAGCATATTATTCCTCGAATCATAGCCTTCTAAATCAAAGAGATCTTCTGCTTCTAACGAATCTTCTTCAGGTTGCATATTTCTGGGAGGCTGTAAACATTATTAAAAAAAAGTTATTCTTTGTTGTTGCATTATCTTTTGTTACCACATCGCGATAAGTATGTTAGTTTAAATAAAAACTGTATTTTACTTGAAGTTCTCACATCCTAACTCAAAAAGTTTTTATTTTCAGTTTGGTATCATAATGTAATTAACAAAACGGTGTGATTTCGCACCTGTGCAATGAAATAGTATGTAAATAATAAATAACATGTGTATTGGTTACATGCGGCCAGTTCCAGCAATTATTGAAATGTGCCATTGTATGTAAACACAATATTATCAATTATCGCGTATTTTTCCTCCGTATTGTATGGTGGTTGTATGTTAATAACATAAACAGAACTGTAAATTAATACTTACTACCAATGGCAATTGTTATCTTTATCAAAGTCAACTTAATAGAGTATTTTGAAAATTATAAACAAATTCCGTAATTTATTATGAATGGATTTAGCACTTGGTAATGTATCACGTTTGAGTTGTGAAAAATAAAAACATTATTTTAACATAAGTAGGTCGTCCAAAATATGTTTTTCACACTACCCATAAAATGAAATTACTATTGACAAAAATACTGCAAAAGATTATGCCCAAGTAAAGAATAAATATTGTTTTGTTTACTACTGCCGACTCACTAAAGTGATTGATCATACAAAACAGGTAAATCAATTTCACTGATAAACAACTTGAGGAAGACAAACTTTACTAGGTACCTTAGCATAATTCTGAGTGACTTTTTTGGCATCTTTGAAAGAGGACAGCCTTCTCCTCTGTAGAGGGGGTAGATGGGGGGAGGGTGGTCCATTGTCGAGTGTCGAGTCGATCCGCCAGTTGTCTCGGTCGACGTTATTACGCGCCTTGCTTATGATACTGTAACAACAGATTTATGTTGTTCACATGTCTCTATACTCCACACATTGTATTGTATCTACTTACTGTATTGTAAGACTGTAACAATTGGTAAATTGCATTACAAGTACCTACATACATGATTCATTATTTAGACTAAGGTATGTAATGATTGAATATAGAATCAGACAACATACCTAGCTAAAATTTTATGATCTCTTTGAGCCCTCTCCCTGTAGGCCTCAAACTCTGCATACTTCTGATCTCTGAACTGCCTGACTGACTCCTCAACTGCCTCCAGCTGTGACTGCAGAGTCTGATTCAACTGTTTACTGAGCGTGCCGATCACTTGCTGGGTCGGCAGCCACACATTCCTATCACTGTTTATAACATTGTTTGTATCCACATTTTCCTTCATCTCCATATCATTAGTTACCTCTGGTACTAATAAATTAAATACAGGTGAATAATTGTTTGACTTTTTCAAATTATTAATCCGGTCTTGTGTAGTCTGTAACATAAACAGGTAAATCCATAAGTCATGGACAATGATTTATCTTTGCTGGTGATAAGATTGTGATGTTAACATGTTCAATATTTACTTAAGCTTTTATTAAGTTCAAAACAGACACTAATAACTATTGATAAAAAGGTAAATTACGAAGAAATACTGGTATAGAATAAAATCAATTTACAAATTAAATTACTAATTGGAATAATTGTCTAGTACCTGAAATAGTATTTTTTTTTCTATAAGCAATAAATGTGTTGCTATGTAAAATATTTCTATGTACTGCATGTTTACTTTCTTTTGTTTGCAGTATAAGATAATCAGCAAGGCCACAGAATCAATCTAAATGATTAAATACAAACACAAGTGTGTATGTACTTAAATGTGAGAGTAAGTACATGTATTTCTATTTAGATGCAAAACAGACAATAGTGCATTTCATAATAAATTATAACATATCGATGGACATTATTTAGCTGAGTGAATGTAATTGAACACTGAAATGAATACTGACCTGAATAGATTTAGAAATAAGTAATGCATAAGGTCCATTTTTGTCATGTGATATAGCATGAGTAGCTTCTCCACAAGCCAGGCAGGAGTGCACTGTCCACCTGCCCACTGGTCGCTGTTCCACCAGGGCAGGCTGGGTCACCTGGCTCTTCAGGCTGCTTAAAGAGCATGATAGCAGCTTCTATAAAAAGAATAATTATTGTTGCAAATTAGTATTAGATAATCAAAATATCAAATAGGTTCTAAACATATTCATAATAAATTATTGTTCCAGTAAAACTGGTTTGCATTCTTTTGACACTGTTTTGTACACAGAACAGGAAAGCAGTAAGATCAGTTATGAATAATTAAAGGCTAAAAATAAAATAAGTCAGAAAAGCAAGTATTATTAGGCAGTAATAGTATAATGTTATGTATTGCTAATACGATCACAAACAAGTAGATAAAGTGCCGAACGCACATGTACTAGTGTATTATGTATAACATTCATACAAAATTATATCAGCATAATACGATCATTAAAATGTCTATGAGGTTTCATTCATATTTTCATATTTCAAGCAACGAAAACCCTTCATAGAAGTCAAGGTCAAGACATGTTTACTGACGGTACCTCACTGAAAAAAATATCCCTTTGTTCCATGGATGTTAACTCCAGTTTCCCAATATCGACATTGTCTTCAATTTTATCACCTTCAAGAGTTACATTTAGGCATTTGCAAACACAGAGAGCCATTGTATCCGGAAGGATTATGTGTTTTGGACGAAACAATACAAAAATACACAAAAAAATAAGTAAAATACGAGTACAGTAGTCGCAACTTTCAGATAAACGCGTAGAAGTACGTATAGATTACGGTATAGATAGATAGTTATTTTTGTTCACAACACACACATTCACACAAATCAACAAGGAGTATAGCGGCCAAAATCAGAGGCACACAAATCGATATATCATCGTCTTCTTTTACCGGCTATTGTTGTCCATTCATTTCATGTATGAAAGAAAGAAATAAAGCATATTCTCAAACTTCTTACTCATACTTATAGCCATTTCAGCCATTTTATAGATAGTGTTGTATTCATTGTCATTGTGTGATGTTCTAAGTAGAATCGACTATAATAATGGGTTTGGAAATCATAATAATAATCTTATAATAAAATTGATTTAGACTGACTCGTTGGCCGAGTGGTCACGAGTGCGTCTGCCAGGCAAGGGGTCTTGGGTTCCATTCCCGGGTCAGGCAAAGTATTACTGGGTTTTTAAAAATCTCAGTAGTAGTACGGAGTCTGGAAATGTGCCAGGTATATGGCAATAGGGTCACCCCCTATTACATGGGACTCATAACATAAATAGTGAAAAGTGGGTGTTACATTGTACAGTGTCATTAAGTGCCGTAATGTGCACATCTGCCTACCCTTTCGGGGATAAAAAGGCGTGATGTTATGTTATGTTATATGTTACAATAACATTTTTGTGTTAAAAATTAATTTAGCATGACTAACGCCTGAATACCGAAAGTTTACTCAATTTTAAGCAATACTTAAATATCGTGCCATCGCTGTCATGTTGCAAAGAATTTGTAGGGATAAACCTATATGTGGCTTAAAATTGAGTAGCCTTTCAATATTTGGATATAAGGTGAGAAAAATAGTAAGTGAAAATGAAACAATGTTTTCACCGTGTACCTTTAATTTTAGTTCACAGAATATGCATAGACAATTTTACTAAAAAAAATTGAATTGGACATCACTATACTTGTCAACCTCAAAATTTCAGAAGGTTAGTCCGTCGTTGTCAGATTGTGCTGCAAGTGTCAAAGAGTCATGCATCATATGTTCAGTACGTGGCGAAAAAAGATTTTAATAAGTTATAACTTGAAATTTTATTAAAGTAACACAAAGGTTTTTAACTACAGTGCACGTACTTTAAGTACAAACTTATAGCAAAGTAGTTTTATGTGTGAAAATTTACAATGTCTAAAAGAAGTCAGCCTAGTTGGTCCCCACCGGTTAAACCCGGGAAGAAGCCGGTTCTAAAGCTTTATAACAGCTTGACTAGGCAAAAGGAAGAATTTGTGTGCGACAATGGCAATCGTATTAATTGGTACAGCTGCGGGCCTACAGTGTACGACGCCTCCCATATGGGCCATGCCAGGTAAAGTTTACTTGGTTTACTATTGGTTTTTTTATGATTTTTCTACCTGCAATACATTTTAATAAGTATAATGTCTGTTGAAAACTACTAAATAGATTGTATGTAAAAGTTAAGATCAGCTCACGATGGTAACCTACACTTCACTAATGAACAGACACCTAATGAGATACTTTTTGCTCTTTGACCATTGTAAAAGGCTATTGTATTTCCTAGGAAGCTCTACATCCTCACTAGTCTCTTATTTTTGGTGCTTAAAAATCAATAAACAATATAAATATATAATTTTTATAGACATGCAGACATTATAATTCTTTTTACGGCTTGTCTGTTACAATTTTATATCATTGCAAGAGCTATAAAGAAATCCAGGTTATTTTTTACTCATGAAAACCCTTTATATTTAATTCCAGATCCTACATATCTTTCGATATATTGAGACGAGTAATGGCCAACTACTTTGGCTACGACATACTCTATGTAATGAATATAACAGATATAGATGACAAAATCATAAAGAGAGCGAGACAGCATCATTTATTTGAGAAATATGTTGCAGAGAAGAAAAGTCTGAATTGTATTATAGATGATGCAACATCAGTAGTGAATTACTATGAAACAATTGTTAAAGAAGCCACCGACCCTGATAAAAAGAATGCCATGCAAAAGACGTTAGACTGGTAAGTATACCTAAGGTTATTAATCTCTACACTTCATAATAAATACAAAGTAGTATAATGAAACAATAATATTTATCAGTTGAAGAGAATTTCTTTACCCGACTTTGAATGCAATTGATATTAATTACTCAATGCAGAAGTGAGTTCTATTGCTTACTAGCTTTTAGATAAGCAACTAAGTACATGCATAGTTCTTATCAGCGTGCCTGTCACACTTGTGCCAGTTATGTTTTGAAATAGTTTCCACCCACGTAACTGCTACTTGTGTAATCATACTGCTAATAGTCTAAAATTAATATTAATTTAATAACTTAATTATCGTCTCAAGGATAGAAGAATAAAATGGACATTTTTATTAAAATTATTCTTATGTTTTGAATATCTAATGTAACAGGAAAACTCAACATTTTATTAATGATTTACCTTATAAAGAATGACGAAAAGTACTAAAGCTAGTTTGTTTAAACAATGAAATAAAAGTATAAGTAGTAAATATATTTGGGTCACATGTTATTCATAAATGGTGATTTTGTCAAGACGGTTTACTTTTTAACACAGGAACAACATCACTTCTTTCATCTATTTCATCAGTAAAATTAACACGTTGAACGCCATGGGGGTCACCGGTGACCGGCGTTAGCGGAGGATTTACCTTCAACAGTTTTTTATTGGCAATCAAAGTCTTAATAAAAATTTCTAATTTTGATTTCCAGCATTGCATCAGCAGTTAAGAACTTAAAAGCAGCTGTGGAAAGCAATGATGATGCAACAATCACAAATGCAAAGTGTGAGTTATTACAATCAGCAAAGGGTCCAATATCGGAATGGCTAGACAGTCAATATGGGCCCACAGTCACAGACAATGCAATATTCACAGCATTGCCTAGGTATTGGGAAAATGAGTTCCATAAAGATATGAAAGCATTAAATGTAAGTAATTTAATTCAGGATTTTATCATTCAGATCAGTCTAACGATTCTGAAATGATCAACTAACATCCATCGCAACTTTTGCATTTATGATATGAATGTAGAAATTAATATCATGTTTATTAATTTTACAGGTATTACCGCCAGACGTATTAACGAGAGTCAGTGAATATGTACCACAAATAATAAAGTTTATTGAAAAGATAATAGATAATGGTCTCGCGTATGAATCAAATGGCTCAGTGTACTTCAGTGTCAGTGACTTTGATAAGAATGACAAACACTATTATGCAAGATTAGTGCCCGAAGCTTATGGTGATACAAAGTCATTACAAGAGGGAGAAGGTAAATACTTTAGCTGTAATTAACAACTTTTTTTTACGGCATAAACCGGCAAACAAGCAGACTGATCACTTGATGGTAAGCAATCGGCGTCGCCCACGGACACCTGGAGCACCAGAGGCGTTACAACTGCTGTTAAAGGAATAAAGTATTTTTTTTAATGTCAAAAGGCCCATGTTGCATATTAATAATTATGTTTACTTTTCTTCTTCAGGTGATCTAACAGACGACACGAGCGAGAAACGATCTCCAAATGACTTTGCTCTATGGAAGCGGAGTAAAGCCGGCGAACCTTCATGGTCGTCGCCCTGGGGAGCGGGCAGGCCGGGCTGGCATATCGAGTGCTCCGCCATGGCGTCAGACGTGTTTGGTAGCAAGTTGGACATACACACAGGGGGGGTTGACCTCAAGTTCCCCCATCATGACAACGAGCTTGCTCAAAGTGAGGTAAGTATCACCACTGATAGGGATGTTGACAAGTTGTCAACATTTTTCCACCACTCAAATGATAATTTTCTATGAATTTTATACAACATAGTGCTTTGTGATGTCATCGCAATCATATATCACTTACTTGGAAAACAAAAATGAATGTCATTATTTTGAAATAGATTATATCGCCTTATCAGATAATCTGATGTGTTGATGTAATCTATTTTTTTATAAGAAAGCTTTTATATTGATTTGTGAATTAAGGAATATTTTTTTCTTTTTATGCTATAAGCCGGTATACGAGTAGACGGATCACCTGATGGTAAGCAATCGGCGTCACCCATGGACACCTGAATATCAACACTTAGTTGAAATATTCCCGTACTTTTGTAACCGACTTCAAAAAAAGAAGGAGGTTCTCAGATGGACCTGATGTATGCATGTATGTTTGTGCGCGATTATCTTGCAATTGGCTGAACCGATTTAGACGCGGTTTTTAAATTAAAAAATAATTCCTAATACCTATTACCTAATACTATAATTTTTCTAAACTATATCAAAGTAATTAAAGTTAAACCATCTAAATATCTTAAAATAGTTATACTTATATACCTACCTATTGTTTTTTGGAGTCGGTGCCAGTGCCAGCGTATTAAAGTTTACCCGCGAACTAGAGACGTGCGACGCGGTGGCGGGGGACGCATGGCGCGAGGCGGGGCCGCGCGGTGCGGCGGGGGACGCGGGCGCGTGCGGTCTTGCTCGAGTAAGCGACCCGAAGGCGGGCAGACGCTTGAGGGCAGACTACGTTGACGCTCGTGTCAAAAATACTGAATTTTCGGATGCGCAATATTTCAAATTATTGCTTTCTTTTTTGTTTGTTGTATTCTATTGTAGGATTTGTAGGTATTTGTTATTCTTTGTTGGTATAGGTTTAGTTGTACCAGGCTACATACAACTTATTTCTTAATATTTTTGTTTCATTGAGTACTTTTTCTTATTTCATTAGGTTTAATATTCATTTATTACTGGCACCGACTCCAAAAAACAATAGGTAGGTATATAAGTATAACTATTTTAAGATATTTAGATGGTTTAACTTTAATTACTTTGATATAGTTTAGAAAAATTATAGTATTAGGTAATAGGTATTAGGAATTATTTTTTAATTTTTAGTTTTTTTTTGTGTTCTCGTATTTGAAGTCGGTTTTATTTTTTTTAAAAAGTTAATTATTTTATTTTAAAATTTTTAGTGTTACTTTTTTGTAGATACCCTTAGTGCATTTAATATGGGTAGGCCTACTAAACGCGCAGCCTTAATGAGACAGCGCCGTTTGGAGGAAACAAAAGAAGAAAGGGAAGTGCGTTTAAAAGAAAGTAGAGAAAGAAATGCTAAAAATATATTAAAGGAGAGTGATGAGCAGCGGACTTCTAGACTTTCATAAAAAATTTCATCCCCAATTTTCCACCCTTGGGGGTTGAAATATTTTCTTCAAATTCGCATGAAACCATCCTTTTGATAATACCTATTCAACAAAAAAATAATAGTTCAAATTGGTTCATAATCGGCGGAGATATTGCGTATAAAAAAATCATCCCCCAATTTTCCACCCTTGGGGGTGAAATATTTTCTTCAAATTCGCATGAAACCACCCTTTTGATAATACCTATTCAATAAAAAAATAATCGTTCAAATTGGTTTAAAATCGGCGGAGTTATTGCGTATAAATAAATTCATCCCCTATTTTCCACCCTTGGGGGTTGTTATTTTTATTAGTAAATTTAAATGGGACCAACCTTGAGGTATTACCTATACGCCGAAAAAAGAATTTTTCAAATCGGTTCATAATTGGCGGAGTAATCGCGTAACAAATATAGAAAAAAAAAAAAAAAAAAACATACGGGTCGAATTGAGAACCTCCTCCTTTTTTTGAAGTCGGTTGAAAAGTGTTTGTTACTCGTCGTAGGTTTAGTATATTAATTAACCGACTAGGGAAGGGAAAAGGAAAGAGAGGGGGTTGAAGTCGGTTTTTTTAAACGTAGGTAGTTTCTAAAAGATTTTTTTTTTAAACGTTGCCCCACTTTAGGATTTTCTCCTGTGTCGTGGGTGCGTTTACAAACATACAAGTTCACATACACAATGACACCCAGACCCGGAACAACAATTTGTAGATCACACAAAGTGTTGCTCCGTGCGGGAATCAAACCCGCGACACGTTGCACGGCGGCCGGTTGCCCAGCCACCGCACCAACCGTGCAGTCATTATTTTATTCAATTATTAACATTTGAATTAAAATTATTCATATTTGTTTTAGGCTCACTTCGACCAGCCAGGCTGGGTGAACTACTTCCTCCACACTGGCCACCTCACGATAGCTGGCTGCAAGATGTCCAAGTCTCTGAAGAACTTCGTCACGATATCGGAAGCGTTGCGCCGTCACACTGCGAGGCAGCTCCGGATTGGGTTCCTCATGCACGGCTGGAAGGAAACCCTCGACTATTCGGACAACACCATGGATATGGCGATACAGTTGGAGAAACTGTTTAATGTGAGTTTGTTTATGGCTATTCTATACATTTTCATATCTCTAAAAACTAGTATACTTAGGTATACATAATTTTATAACATGCTTACTCCATTTTGTTTTTCTTAAATAGATTTTTAACTCAACTCTTAGGTATTAAAGACGGAAATCTATCGAAAAAAATCTTGCCCTCTATCATCTGTATATTAAAATGAATGAACTAAACATGTGTTCTTCTAGGAATTCTTCCTGACGGTCAAAGATGCATTGCGTAGTGGTTACGACGAGGGCAGCGGCGGAGTATGGGACGAGCAGGAACTACAGCTGTCCAACAAACTCTCCGCCGTCAAGGAACAAGTACATGCCGCGCTCTGCGGTAAGTAGGGCTGTAGATAGACAACACCTTTACCTGAGTATATTAAGTCATAAAACTTGTGTAAATTCGTCTATTAAAATACAAGGTGTAATGGAACGCTTCCGAAACTCTGACAAAAACAATTAGTTGTTACTATTTTAATCATTTTTGTTTTCGTGTTTCACATGCAACTTTAACAACTTTAAGCACTTAATTTTATCTATTATTACATAAAAGAAACATTTAATTTGTACTTATTTTTTACAATCACCTGTCGGATAGACAGACTAAAATTTTTGTAATGCATGACACTCCAGAGTGCCTTTTCGATCAAATTAAAACCAATGATCTAGCTGCTATATCATAAATATATATTAGATTAAGTATACAATTTATTGACATGGAATTATAGGTACTTATTACGTTACGAGTTCTACATTATAATTACTACCTAGAAATGCCTGCTACCTTCCTTAATTTTTCGGTGACAACAGCAAGATTGATGATAATAAATAATAATATATTATTCTCGTTGCAGACAACATCGACACACGCAGTGCTCTGGACGCTCTCCGTGAGTTGGTGGGCGCGGCGCACGTGTACCTGCGCCACACGACGCCGCGGGCCTCCCCGCTGCTGGCCGCCGCCGCGCGGTACGTCACCGACATACTGCATGTCTTCGGAGCTGTTGAAGGACCACGAGGAGGCATCGGCTTCCCTGTGTCGGATGGAAACAATGTTTGCGTGAGTATCGCAACTTAAATCGTAGAATTCAAATCTTTTTGTGTAATAATCAATTAAAAATACAATAAACTCATGTGAACTATCCGAGAAAAGGTCTATTAGTTCAAGTCACATCAGGACTCTTATTTATGAACAGCATGCGCGGCGCGCTGACGTCGTGCAGCCAACTGACAACCTGGTGTAAAAACAGTCACATGTTAGGCATGATTATCTCACCTGGTCAAGGCATCCTCAATTTTCACGAATATTTGCTTTATTTGACCCTACAGTTAGAAGACACAGTGATGCCGTACCTGGAAGCGTTGAGTAAGTTCCGCAGCAGTGTACGGGACGCGGCGCGCGCTGCGGAGGCGCCAGCCGTGCTCGCACTCTGCGACAGGTTGAGGGACCACGACCTGCCTGAACTGGGCGTCAGGCTCGAGGATAAGCCGGGTAAATACATTGGTATTTTGTTTATTGTATTTTAAATATTATTATGTAGTAGTCCATATTTGTACTAGCGTTTCCAAAAATGGTTCTTATAAAGTTAAGTTAAAGAATATCGGCATCTAATCTTAATCGACTGAATTGATGTCTTTCTCTGTACATACATGTACAAATACTTTTTAAATAATAATAGTAATTTCGATAAGAATAACCCGCTATTTTTCCCACGCGGGACTCCACCTCGCAACCTATTTCATCCAGCTACGCCGGTCAAGTAGCAAAGGTGCATTCGAGCATTCGTGTTTACGATAACTAACAAACAAAATATATTTGTTTCAGATCGCACAGTAGTCAAGTTAGTAAGTAAAGAGGAAATAATGAAAGAGCGGGAAGAAAAGGCGAGACTCGAAGCAGAGAAACAAAAGAAGAAGCAAGAGTTACTGGAAGCGCAGCGCGCTAAGGAGGAACTTAAGAAGATACCCCCCGGGGAACTGTTTAAACGGGAGACAGACAAATATTCCAAGTTTGATGATAAAGTAAGTTGTCTATCATAGTTTAATTATTCCAAACTGATTTCCATCATCAGATAGTCTTACTTGCATCATTAACGTAATGTTGTTGTCTTTAAATTATATTAGTATTTACGTTATATACTTGCAAATATAATACAATAAATTTAGGAAAAATAATTAATATAGAAGAAAACGACTCCACAATAGTCTTATTTTATAACAGCACAATAATCTAAGTAGCTAAAGACTGATCGTCAGTTTGTTTTCGAAACTATAACAATACAATAAAGATGATAATGATTTAACAGTTTCTGTAGGATGATTTTGGCTTAGGCATTAAAGGTAAAATAACTTTCAGGGTCTTCCAACACATGATCACGAAGGTAAGGAGCTCAGTAAAGGACTTGTGAAGAAGCTGCAGAAATTGCAGCAAGCGCAGGAGAAGAAATACAACGAGTACTTAGCGTCCATCAACTCTTGCTGACCAAGGGCATAGCCTTATATCATCAATATATATTGTTGTGAATCTTCGGAAAATTGTAACACAAAATATGTCATTGCCAGGTTATAAATTATAAATTACATTTTAGATGTTTCAAACCCAAAATTGATTTGATAAACTTCTTCATTATCGTCAGTCGGACTTATTGCATTGTTAAACAAAGGTCTCCTTTATATTTTACGAAAAAAAAACATGTACATGTCATATGTATGTATGCACAGTTGTACACAAATAACTTCAATCGCTAGCAAGTAAATTCTACTCATAATATTATACACTTGCGGTCAGTGTTGTATGATAGTATTACATTAGGTCAATTTAAAAAAAAACACAAATTACTATTGCCTTTGCTGTACATACTTTATAGGATAAAATACTCTAAATTAAATGAAGAATATAATTATTGAGTTGGTGTGTCAGTTTTTTAAATTATTTTCATATTTGGAACTGGGATAAGTAAGTTTAGTTGAATGGTATATAAAATAGTATTTTGTATTTTTCGTTCATGTTCATAGTAACTTTGTCATTTTTCTAAACATTTTTCATGCATCAATGGAATTGAGTACATTCCGAGTGAGTGTATAAATGATTCAGTGATTCATTAATTTATATTAAAATTATGCTTCTATCGCTTATTCTTAGTAACAAATTATGCTGCGTGGCTTTAGTTAAATATGTTTCTTTGTATGTGTATCCGAATTTACTGCGAGTTTTGTGTGATTGTAATGAAGGTTTCATGTTTGCTCACTAGTGGCGCCATTGTCGGAAATAATTCTGACTTTACTACAGCGCTACTAGAGATAAATTCAAACGCAGTTGTTACCTTCACAAAATAAAATATATTGTGCATTTTTAACAATAAAGATAAGATTATTTTCTTTAAATGATTAATAAGTGTTTGTGAAAATAATTTAATCAGTTAATTTTATTTGCATTCAGAAAGAAAGTGTGAAATGAAATAGATACTCGCAAACTCAATGTTGTAAAGCAATAATTGTTTCAGTATTAAGACTTTGTAAATTATACATACAACACATATTTATTTTCTTTTTTCATATTCCGTTGCATTTTCTTGCAATAAAAACATATAGCATTCTTACTACCATGTTGTTTTATTTTTACGCTACTGACCCGATAGATGTCGCCCGTTATAACAGGTCGAGTTTTTATCAACTTTAGATTTGTGCTGATTATCTCATCTACAATTTCTTATGTTTACGTATAAACGTGCTGTTTTGTAGCATTTGGACAAATGTTATATTTATTTGAGTAAATTAGTCATTGGTCATGTGACTATACATCACCAATACTTACGAATGATTTAACGATATAATTAATTCACGTTTTTCTTGCATTAAAAAATTAAAATAAGTGCATCACTATTTAACGCAAAATATGACGTCAGAAACACTGGCATGTAAGTAGGTACTTTACGAAAAAATAATAATTAGGTAAATAATTATCTTATTGACTTGTCGAAAAAACGTATTGAATTTGACCGGTTGGAAACTGCCATTTTTCCTGGCGCATGGCTGGATGACCTCACATATATAACAATTATGAAAATACCCTTATTTACTACTGAGCAGTTTACTCAGGAACAAAGTAGTCTTGTAATCTGTTGTTGGAGAACAAATTATCTTTACAATCGGTTTTTTAGTACCTACTTTTTTAAGTGATGGGTAGCTGCAGCTACGGGTAAGTTGCCTTGTTGCCAAGCTGTCAGCGTATAACCTCCCCACTGGTTTGTGCAGATGGATGCTGGGCTGGGGTGCTGAGGGATCGGTTGATTTGGGTGGTCATTGATGGCTGCTCCTCCGATCAACGTGGTATCTACTTACAAGGCTTCAAAACTTCACACATATGCCTAAAGTTGCAAGCCTTTCGGTCTTCTATCGCATACATTTCGGTGAGTGTGCGTGAGAATTGCACAACTTTATCCCCCCTAGTTCGTGTCACCATCATAAATACTACTAGAAGATCGGCAGGGCGCCACCCTTATAAGCTGGACATTCCACCTAGTCGTACGAAGCGTTTCGCATCAAGTAGGTATCCTTGTGCGAACCGCTAAGGAATTGAATTCCTTGCCGATATCTGTGTTTACCGACAAATACAACTTTAGTGTCTTCAAGTCCCGAGTTAGCAGGTTGCTTATAGATAGGCGTACTCCATCGTCGGCCACATCATCGCTTACCACCAGGCGAGATGGTGACCAAACGTCAACCTATCAAGTATATAAAAATGTAGTATTCTATTTTACTAATGATCTGATTACAGAGTGTCTTAATTAACTACTGTTTTGTATGAAAGTGAGTATTATCTATCTATATATTATTATTATGCAGTGATACAACAAAATTTGAACTAAGTACAAAAGATTAATGTGTTCACCTACCTCTCCTGAATTTTAAGGAACCCCCTAAGGTAAGATAGGTGACATTTTATGACATTTTGGTTTTCACCAATCTATAAGTGATACTTTATAGTACAATTAAGGGGTTGGTTCAGGTGCTACGTCATGCTAAGTAACTTTTAGCTAAGGGATGGTTGGTGAAAACTGCCATAAGAGTTGTTTTGTTAAACTGGGACATGATATCGCAATGAATTTCATTTGGTGTCCAAGGCGGCGCTGATTATTAAGATGTTATCTCCTAAGACCTGTATGTATTACCTTAACATGCAAATAAAGAGTTTGAGTTTGATTACTTACCATCAGGTGATCCGAATGCTTGTTTATCCTCTAACCCATGAAAAGCAACTATATTAATTAAAATAGCAGCTTACTCACAAAAACTAACTGAGAAATCTGTACTTATTTTACTTCACTTAGTTTACGTTAGAACCTATCATTTATTTTCAATCAGAGGCCTTAGTACGAGTTTCATTTACTTTTAAAGTATTCGAAACGAGTACGCGTTCAGCACTCTGATTGGCCGGCGCCAATGAACCAACCAATCAGAGCACCGAACGCGTACTCGTTACGATTACATTAAACGTAAAACAAACTTGTACTAAGGCCTCAGTTTAGTATGTCTCACGATAGTTATTACACTAAAAACTACTTTGATTATTATATGTAATAGATACAATGCAGCTAACTACCTAATGCAGTTACCTAAGTTTAGATAATGCACGACACCATAATCGATAGTAAAATTGTACAGTTCGACTTTACAGTTAAACTGTAAGGTGTATAGACCTACTATTTAACTGAGCAGTTTTTGACTAAATCTAAACAAGAAAGAGATATAACTGCACAAATAAATCGTAGTTGTTGGAGCTATTTAACTGTACAGTTCGACTTTACAGTTAAACTGTAAGGTGTATAGACCTACTATTTAACTGAGCAGTTTTTGACTAAATCTAAACAAGAAAGAGATATAACTGCACAGTTAAATCGTAGTTGTTGGAGCTATTTAACTGTACAGTTCGACTTTACAGTTAAACTGTAAGGTGTATAGACCTACTATTTAACTGAGCAGTTTTTGACTAAATCTAAACAAGAAAGAGATATAACTGCACAGTTAAATCGTAGTTGTTGGAGCTATTTAACTGTACAGTTCGACTTTACAGTTAAACTGTAAGGTGTATAGACCTACTATTTAACTGAGCAGTTTTTGACTAAATCTAAACAAGAAAGAGATATAACTGCACAGTTAAATCGTAGTTGTTGGAGCTATTTAACTGTACAGTTCGACTTTACAGTTAAACTGTAAGGTGTATAGACCTACTTTAACTGAGCAGTTTTTGACTAAATCTAAACAAGAAAGAGATATAACTGCACAGTTAAATCGTAGTTGTTGGAGCTATTTAACTGTACAGTTCGACTTTACAGTTAAACTGTAAGGTGTATAGACCTACTATTTAACTGAGCAGTTTTTGACTAAATCTAAACAAGAAAGAGATATAACTGCACAGTTAAATCGTAGTTGTTGGAGCTATTTAACTGTACAGTTCGACTTTACAGTTAAACTGTAAGGTGTATAGACCTACTATTTAACTGAGCAGTTTTTGACTAAATCTAAACAAGAAAGAGATATAACTGCACAAATAAATCGTAGTTGTTGGAGCTATTTAACTGTACAGTTCGACTTTACAGTTAAATCATAAGGTGAGTAGGCTGTATAAAGTCTGTAGCCTGCATAAGTCGGTGGTTTACTGTAAGTATTACCTACATGATTTCAAGTTAGAGGAAAAACAGTTCCAAATAAAACAACAATGTCACGTCCATCGCTGTTGAGACGAAGACAAAACTTTAATAAAAATGTTGTAAAAAACTGCATCACATAAATAGACACAGAAAAACTCACAATAGATACCTTTTCATTCGAGTGCCATGAACTAGTATCTGCTTTAGATGGATTTTTTTCATCCTTCCTTATTCTATTTTTATTATTTTAATGTTAATCTCACTAGAGTTGTCACATTTGAAGATCAACTGCACAACTAATTTGCCCCTAGTTTACTTCACTATCGCACCACCAGATGAACACTAAAACGGCACCGCTAGATGGTTTTATTATATTTGGTACTTAGGTATGTCCCACCCACTCACACCAAGTTTTGCTTCAAGTTTCCTTATGTGAACCGCCAAAGAGTAGAATTCCTTGCCACAGTGTGTGTTTCCAGAACTCTGTCGTTTGCTACATTAATAGGTACTTACCACTAGGATGAAATGGTGAAAGAAACAACATTTCAGGTTGTAAAAGTCTTGTGCAAAGTTATCAAGATGCCTAAATAAGAATAGTAGTTTTGAACATACTACTTACCCACTTATGAAAAAGAAAACAAACATCTAAAATACATTTCCCTATGCAAAGATACTACGCATCAATATCAAATCAGTTTACTCCCTATCATTTAAACACCCCTAAAACTGACACAACACGAAAAAAACATAGATACAAATTAAATTTATAAAAATCGAGGCCTTCAACAAATCCACCGATTATCTGTATTTAAATAAACATTAAAAATGAATA